CATCAATATATCTGTCTTCCCACAGCCCTCCAACTTTAACTGTTCCTACATTTTCCTGTCTTTATCCATTTGGGCAGTGTGAAGTAAAACCTCGGAGTTGTTTTAATATACAATTATTGCTAGTAATTTTGAGCATATTTCCAGGTGATAATTTATAATTTGTAATACGTTTGAAAACTTTTTGTATTACTTAAGCCATTTATCTTTTGGGGAATTTATTTTTTTTAAGGCAAAACTTTTCATGTCAATCAAATATAGATTAGTTGAGAACAAGTGGTTTTCTCCCCTCTGAAATGGTCCCCAAAGGAGATTTTTTTTTTCAGCCAAAGACAAGGTTTATTAAAGATCCGCCATATTGGCCAGAGTCTTAAGGAATCTGGGCACCAGTGAGCTATTGGCTAGATTATAAGAATCCGAGCCAAGGTTTTTCTTTTTTAAACTACAATGACCTCAGTGATGTCAGGAGTCTGAACTTCCTCACTTCTGTGAGGACAGACCATGGCATAACTTTACCTGAGTATGACCATAGAACTGAAAGAAACCTTGCAGAACATCTGATTGAATGCCTTCCTTTCCTAAGAAAATGAGTAGCAGAGCTGACATTGGATTATAGATCTTGCTGCAATTCAAGTGTTCTTTCCATTACAACAGACTGCAACTTTCTCCTCTCCAGAGGGAATTTATTCCAGAAGAATATAAGATAAAGGACGCCGAACTGAACCCAGTACTGGTTCTATCTGGACCTCAGTTTCTTCCTTTGTGAAGTGATGTATAATACTAGATAAGGTTTTTAGGGTTTTTTGTTTTGCTTTTGTTTTTAATTCTCTGGAATGGAATTCTGACTCTCCTGGGGACAGCAAACGATACTTAAGCATGTGACGCTCATGGCTCAGGCACTACAGTTGTTATTTGGTCCATTTAACAGGTGAGGTAAGGGCAGCCAGGTGGCACAGTGGATAGAGCCTGGGCCTAGAGTCAGGAAGACTCATCTTCCTGAGTTCAAATCTGGCCTCAGACACTTACTTGTTCTGCAAACCTAGGTGAGTCACTTAACCCTATTTGCTTCAGTTTCCTCATTTGTCAAATGAGCTGGAGAAGGAACTGGCAAACCACTCCAGTATCTTTGCCCAGAAAACCCCAAATGGGGTCACAATGGGGTCAAATATTGGACTGGAAAGTAACTAAACAACAATCACACAGGGAGAGGGTCTTTTTTTCTGTTTTGTTTCTTTGATTAAGCCATACAAGAAAGGAATCCCTATAACAAGCCCAATAAATAGCCATCTAGCCCCTTCTCAAAGATCTCGAAGAAAGGAGAATCTACTGCTTTTCTAGGCAGCCCATTTCACTTCTAGACAGCTCTAGTTAGTGGGAACGGGTTTTTTTTTCCCTTTATTCTTCTGATCTAGCCTTAACTGATCACAAGTAATCACAAGTGATCACAAATTTCCCAATAGATAAGTGACTAAATAATGTAAGGGGCCTCATTACAACTTGTACTGATTCTATTGCTGTAGTTCTGCCTTTGGGGGCCAAATGGAACAAGTCTAAGATCCAGAGTGGATCCCACCCTGAGGCCATATCCCTAGGATGTCCATGACCTACCTGAACTGATTCAGCAATAATGAAAAAAAATCCCACCTGGTCATACCCTCCCCATCCCACCGCTCCTGCATCCCCTCAAAATACAAGTCCTTCCCCAGTCCATTTCTACTGCCCACTCTCCTTCCCATTCCCTTTAACCCTCTAATACTACCCACCCTTCTATGGGGCTCTCTTTGATTCATCCTCCCTCATAGCTAACAAACACATCTTTTCCTTTTATACTCCTTTCATCTTCTGGCCTCCACGGAGACCTGGCTTCTTCCTGACAGAGGCTAGCCTCACTGGCCACCTTTTTCAGCAATAGTTGAACTTGCACTCATTCCTTTCTACCACCACCCTCCTTCACTGGTTGAGGCGGAGGAGTTAGAATTCTCCTCATTCCCCATTGCCACTTCCAGGCTCTCCCTCTACTTCTTTCTCTCAGTAACTTCTCTTCCTCTGAGGTTCGCCAAATCTATATCCAAGACACTATTAAAATTCTGGTAGCTGTTGTCTACCAACCATCAGGATACTCCTTTTCTTCCTCCCCCCAGATCCCAAACCTTCATGTCTTCCAAACATTTCTATTACTGTGGAAAATACCACCATCCTACCCAGGTGTCCTCTATAACTCCTCCTTCCCGCCCACCCTCATATCTCATATGTTGTCAAGGCTTGTAGATTTTACCTGCAGTCGTCTCTCACGTATACCTCCTTCTCGCCAATGACACTGAACCCACCCTGGGGCAGGCCTTCATCAACGCCCACCTGGACACTGCAGTCACCTGCTGCTGGGTCTGCTTCCTCAAGTCTCCTCCCACTCTAGTCCATTTTCTACTCAGCTGTCACAATGAGCTTCTGACTATTTTCCTCTCCTACTGAATGAGCTCCAGGGTTTTTCTGTCATGTCCGGGACCAGATATAAAATCCTCCAGCACTCAGAGCTCTCCATAACCCGCCTCCCATCTTTCCTGTCTTCTCATGCTTTACACCCCTCCCCACAGTCTGAGATCCGGTGACACTGGACTCCTTGTTGCTCTTTGCTCTGTCTCCCACTGTCGTTGTCATGACTGCCCTCGTGCCTGGAATGCTCTCCCTCTTCATCTCTGCTTCCTGGCTTCCCTGACTCCCTTCAAGTCCCAGCTACAATCCCACTTTCTACTGGAAGCCTTTTCCAATTTCCCTTAATGCTAGTGGTTTTGTTTGATTTATCCTGTATATAGTTTGTTTGTACATAATTGCCTGCATTTTGTCTCCATTAGACTGTAAGCTCCATGAGGACAGGGCCTATCTTTTGCCTTTTTTTGTATTTCCAGCACTTAGTATGAGGCCTATTACATTGGTTGTTGTTCAGTCTTTCCAATCATGTCTGACTCTTTGTGACACCATTTGGGGTTTTCTTGGCAAAAATACTGTCCCGGCACAAAATAGGTACTTAATGTTTATTAACTGACTGACTGATTGAGGACCGGAGATGTAAGACAATTTGCTTAAGTTTCCACAGCTAGTAAAGGGGGGAGCTGAGACTGGACCCTAGATCTAGCGACCTGAAGAGACAGATAATAAAATCAGATGAATTCAGAACTGGTTGGATTCAAAGAACAGTTATTGGCTCATTGTCACCACGGCAGGACTCCTGCAGGGATGTGTTCTTGTCACTGGCTGTTCAGCAACTTCTGAATGGATAAAGGCCTATTTGGATAAAGCCTTATCAAATTTTCAGATAATGTGAAGTTGGGAGGGTAACAAACACTGGAAGACAGTGTCAGGATCCAAAAGAGTCTTGATAGGCCAGAACATTTGGTCAAATCTATTAAGATGAAATTCAATAAGGAGGAATGAAAATCTTACACTTAGGTGCAAAAGAAAAATCTACTTCATAAGTCTAAATGGGGCAAGTTACTTGGAATTGTGTGCAGTTCTGGACTTAGTGGTTTTAAAAGGACACTGATAAGCTGGATGGTGTCCAGAGAAAGGAAAGCAAGATGGAGCCATGTCTTCAGAGGATTAACTGAAGGAATTGGGTGTTTAACCTTGAGAATGGAAGATGCAGGGAAGAGGAACTGGGCTTATTCTGTTTGGTCCCAGAAGGCAGAAGCAGGACAATACAGTAGGTGGAAGTGGTTAAGAGGCTATTTGGTCACTTATCTGTTGAGAAGTTTGTGATTGATTTAGACTGGATCAGAAAAACAAAGCAACACTTCCTACCAGTTGGAGCTGTCCAGCAGTGAAATTGCCTGCCTGGAGAAGTGGTAGGGCCCCCCTTTTTGGAGGTCTTCAGACAAAGACTAGAAGTTTGTTGTAGGGCATTCCTTATGGGTTAGGCAAGATGGCCACTGAGGTCCCTTCCAGTTATCAAAGAGTCCCATGGCCAGATTCCAAGTTCGGTGCTTTCCCTCCTCCAGAGCTCAGTGAAGGAGCAGGTCTTGTTGACCAGGAATCCTAATTAATACAGTTTTATTGTTCTGTACCATACAGTGCATGGAAGGCCAGCCTTGGACTTGAGAAGACCTGGGTTCATGACCTTACTCTGACACACTAGCTGTGTGACCATGTGCAAGGTATTCATTAACTTGTCAGTCCAACACTCTTCAATTATAGATGAGTATCCAATCTCCATGAAGTGTGGAAGATTCCATATTAGGATTTCCCCATGATGAAATCACAAAAGAATATTGCTCTGACAACTTCTCCTTGGAGAAGCCAAACTGATTCACCCTATAGTACATCAGGAAGGGAGAAGGGGGAACCACCGTCTAGAAGAAAGAGTTCCTGGTAACACAACCAGCTTCCCGCTGCTGACTGGCCTAACCCCCAAAGAGCAGGAGCAATGTGGTAGAACAATTACAACAACAATAATAGCTCATATTTACAAAGCACTTTAAGGTTGACAAACCACATTCTCATTTGATTTCACAACCCTGGAAAGTGTGTACTATTATTATCTTCTCCTTTTGACAGATGAGGAAACCAATGCCCAACATAATTAAGTGACTCATTCAAGGTCTCACTAATAAATACCAGGCAAAATTCAAGCCCAGCTTTCCCACTCCAAAGTCCAGGATTCCTACTTTTACATGAAGGTGAGCTTGGGCTTAGGAAAACCTGGATTTAAATCAGGCACTCCCCAGCTTTAACATTAGCATAGTACTTGCCTTGCCTATAAAGGTGTTGGAAAGAAATTGCTTTGTAACCTTTAAAGCACTATAGAAGTGAACTATCATAATTAAATCCAAAGGTGCTCTGTGCACACACAACCAGGATCTAAACAACGCCTTCCTTTTACTCTTAAACTTCAATTTTCTTTGTAAAATGTGTCCAAAGGGAGAAGATTTAACCCTCAGGTAGCTCCTTGTTTCCCCTGGTTCTCCTCAGTGAAGTCAATCCCACAGGCAATAAAAATGCCAAAGGCCAAAAACTGCTAAAAATGTTTATTGCCAGCAAAGCTAAGAAAGCTTTCATCCAGTGATACCACCAAATGGAGAAAGTGGCATAAGGGTATTTAGGTAGAGACATGATAAAGCCCCTTGGATCCTTCTGGCCAATAAGTTTCTCAGCAGAGTGACCCTCTTCAGCCCCCATTGTGAGCTGAGCCACTCGGCCACAGCACTAGCATGAGCAAGACAGGCCGCTGAGGTTCTGTCACTTATACTGGGGGGAAAGTGGAGGAACGAGGTGAGCTGCACACACGCTCAGCATCTTAGCGATATCCACCTGCGTCGATTTGTCCACCTCAGCCTTCAGCTGGCTGCCTGGAGTAAAGCTCAGAATGGGCACAGGCTCCTCTCCTCCCTCCTCTGCAAAGGAAGCCAGCCCAAGAGAGGGAGGGAATGGGAGCATGTGGAAGAGGGTCTTGGTTTGGCTCTCACCCCAACCCTGGCTCTGGACAGAAGTGGAATTCGGTGTCTGGGGCCAGGAACATTGTCAGAGCCATTCCCCAGCAGTCATCAAGGTAATGAGAAAATGGACCTGTGCTTAGCCTGGGTGAGGCTGGGAGCACTGAGTCCAGTAGGGGAAGACCATGGCTTGACTCAGAGCAACACTGACCTCCCAGGGGTGAGGTCTGTGGCTTCTCGACTCCTGCCTCCTCTGGGCCTCCTGATGCCTCGTCTGGGACCACGCCCAGCTCCACTTCGACCTCGGCTTCTCCCTCCCCAGCCTGGTTCAGCTCAGGGTTGCTGTAGTTGATGTACTGATATAATGGCCTCAGGCGCTGAGCTTTCCCTGCAGGTGACCATAAGTGCAGCCTCTGAGCCATTGATGGCACCCTGTGTGGACCCTTGCCCCCATCTCCTTGGGGAATCAAGAGAAGGGGCTGGGGGTTCTTGGAGAGAAGACCCAGAGCAAAGGCTTCAGGGAATGCTAGCTCAGACAGTGAGAGTGCGGGCCAGGTCCTGAGAGCCACAGAAGCTCTGTGCCCACCACCAAACGCCACTCACTCTCCAGCCCCAGGGCTTCTGCTGGGGTGGGGACCACAGCAGCAGTGGCCAAAGGGGGCGGCACCCCAAGGCTTTTGCGTTTCTTGGCCTTCTTGTGCTGTTTGGCTGTTGGGGAGGGTTCTCCCTGCGCTCCATCAGAGTCTTCCTTTCTCAACGGCGGCCTTCTCAAATCAGTATGCTGCAGCTGCAGCTCAGCCTCCACCCTGGGATGGACATGGGGAGAGAAGGAATAGGGCAGTACTGGAGAGAAGCAAAGCCTAGCCTTAGGGCTCCCACCGCAAACACCAACCCCACCCGGGGCACCAGGGGTAGGAGTAGGGGTGCAGCTGGGCCTATCTCCAGCCTCTCTCCCTTGAAATTCCTTTTAACCACAGAGGGAAGGAGGACCAAGGTTGCCTTTGCCTTCTCTCTTGTCAACCCTTCCAGGCCCAATTTACCTCGGGATATGGAACTCTATGGCCACATTCAGCCACATTACAATCTACCAAGTCTTTCCTTTTCTTCCTCCCAACCAAATCCTCCTGACCCTCCCTTCCTTCCTCCTTACTGACTATTCCCCACTAATCCCTCCTCTTTGCTGCCAACCTCACATCCCACTCTTAAGGCTCCGTGACAACTTTCCCGACTTCCAGCCCCTCCCACCCGCACCCCCAGGCTTCATGCCTGCCCCGCCCTCCTCAGCAGGGTCGGCTCCTGCCCAGCGACCCTCGTCCGGGCCATGCCCAGAGCCTGGGGGAGCTGGGGCTCCGCCAGGCTCCCCACGTGGCAGGCAGGCAGGCGATGTTTCGGTAGAGGAGTCAGGGCAGCCTCGGAGGAGCTGCTGGGAACCCGGCCCTCGCCCCCTCACTTGGCCGGCTTCCTCTTGAGCCCTTGGCTGGCCCGCAGGGGCAGGACCGGCGGCCGGGGGCGGGGACCCCGCGGCTCCAACTGCTCCTCATCCTTTGCCAGTCCCTCCTCCAGCTCCGGCTCGGGTTCTGGCTCCGGCTCCAGCTCGGGCTCCGGCTCGGGCTCCAGTCCCGACCCAGCCTGGTGCTCTTCCCCCTGGGGGTCACCGAGGTCTCGGGCTGGGGCGGGTGGCAACCAGCCCCTCATCCTGTCGCCAGCCCCGGGCCGTTAACTGGGACTAGTGGAGCCCTGGCGGGCAACCCAGTCTACTCCTCTCGCCCGGGGGACCGCCTCCCGCCCGGAAGCTGCTTGCTAAAGGGTCCCGCTCCCCTCCCCCTTATTCCTTAGCTGCCTCAGCCGGCGATCCCCGACTGTCACCTTCCCCATACTCAGAGACCCCAAGCCAGTCTCACTCTCGCCCCGCTTACTCCCGCTTTGCCTTTCACGCTGAACTCCCACTCCCACCCACCGCAGTCACCTCTGCGCCCGGGCTCCCCGGGCTCTCTGGGGCCTCTCCAAGCTGCGCTGACCCTGCCTGGTGTCCCGGTCGCCTCCCGAGCCCTGCCATGGCCATAACCGCAGGGAAGAGAGAGGGAGGTCCTCTTCCCTTGGAATCCCGGGACTCGACCTCTAGTCCTTCGCTCGCGGGGTGGGGAGAGTGTTAGGGCGGACACTCTAATTGAAGGTAATCGTGGGCAATGGAGGGCCTCTACGTACCTGGTTATTAGGGTTATTGACAATCTGATTGACATTGTGGATGCTGATGGAAAGAAACCCACGAGAACCTGTTCCTCCATCCCAAAGCCCCAGGCCCACTGCCCTTCAGCATCAGGCTCCCCCACTCAGATAATGAACAAATTCATTCATTCATTCTTCCAACAAACATGTATTGAGGCCTTTGCTGGGGCATGCAGCTGATATTTTAAAAAAGAAATTAGTTTGTCCTTGCCTTCAGGGAGCTTTCACTCTCCTAAGAGCTAGCTCCTTTACAAACATCTCATTTTGTTCTCACAACCCTGGGAGGAAGGTGCTACTATCCCTGTTTTATGGGTGCAGCTAAGTGACTAGTCTAGGTTCACAGGCTCTGAAGTGCCTGAGGCCAGGTTTGAATTTAGGTTTTCCTCACTCTAGGTGGAGGGCTCTAGCCAGCGCACCAGGAGGTACAATAGCAGAAAACACATCTATACTACTTGGCTTGGCTCTTCATCACTTACCATAGATTCACGTCTCATCTCTATGCTTATGACTCTCAGATCTATTTGTCCAGCCTTAACCTTTCTGTTGACTTCCGGTATCCCATCTCCACCCTCCATTCCATCCATCTGGAACTAGATGTCTCACAATCACCTTAAACTCAACATGTCACAAACTGAACTCCTTCCCCATCCCACCTCCTTCCTGCACCAACCCTCCCCTCTTCCTAAGCTCCTTCTTACTGTGGAGGCAACACCATCCTGCTAGGCCCCCAGGCCTCACTCTCACTCCCCATGTCCAGCCAGCTGCCAAGTCCTCTGGCTATTTCGCCTTTGCAGCATCTCTTCTCTGCTACCCCCTTCTCTCCTGCTCCCAGCCTGTTTCAGGCTCTGGTCAACTTATACCTAAACTACTCCAACAGATTTCCAGTCAGTCTCTCTGCCTCACAAGGCCAGCCCATCCTCCACTTAGCTTTCAAATTGCTTTTCCTAAATCACAGGTCTGACCTTTTGAGGCCCCCCTGCTTGACAAAAGGCAGTGGTTCCCTGTTGCCTCCAGGATCAAATATGAAATCCACTGTTTACCTTTTAAAGCCCTTCAGAACCTGGCACCTTTATACCTTCCTAGTCTTCTTACACTTCAGTTCCCTCCACGAACTCTGAGATCCAGTGACACTGACCTCTTTGCTGTTCTTCACACTAGATACTCCATCTCCTGACTCCAGGCATTTTCACTGACTGGCTGCCCTCCCCCCCCCCACCATGCCTGGAACTCTTTCTCTTCTCATCTCCACCTCCTAACTCCCCCGATTTTCCTCCAGTCTCAGCTAAAATTAGTCTCTTTTCTCAAGAAGCCTTTCCTTAGCCCTCTCAATGCCTCTGAGAGCATCTGCAGGTCATCCGGTGTGTATCTTGTTTGTACAACGTTGTTTGCATACTGTCTCCCCATTAAACTGTGAGGTCTTTGAGAGCTGGGCCTTTTTCCTTTCTTTGTAAGTCCATAGCTTAGCCCAGAGTCTGACACAAGCTTACTAAGTGCTAGTTGACTTGACTTTGTACACAAATAACCATAACACAAAAGGTATAATGAGTAAATGCACCAGAGAGGTAGGAACAAAGCCTTTACTGGAGGAAGGGCCTTGGTTTCTAGATGGAGTTTAGGAAAGCTGCCTGGAGGAAATGGCCTTTCAGGTGGGCTTTGGAGGGCTTGGTGGTGAAGTAAGAAGAACCAGTGGACCTTGGTGAAAACTGTGATTGGGACACTTGCCCCTCTGGTGCTGCTGCACCGCCAGCCAGCATGGCTGATCCCTCTGGTCCAAAATGCCCTCCTTTCTTCAGGCTGCTGAGGAAGGCCCAGCTTCCTTCTAAGCTCAGTCTCAACACCACTGCCTACAAGAAACCTAACCTGCTACTTCCCTCTCCCTCTGGAAATTACTTTGACTCTACTTCTATTAATATTTAATTTTCTATATACTTGCTGCCATAAAGAAGGGGAAAAAAGAGTGTAAACTCCTTGAAGACAGGGAAAGACCTATTTCCTTTTCTGCCTTTATAACTGGGGCCTAAGCCAGGGTGCCCCCCCCAGAATCCCTTACCTGTTCTCCAGTTATAATTTAACCCAGGGCCAAAGGAAGGGTAATTTGGGGAGGAGGGTAGATGAGAGACTGACACTGCTGCTGAGGATGGTCCCCATCCCTCCTCAGAAATCTGTCTCTGATGGTGGAGATTTTTCCACCTTTCAGAGAGTTCCAGGGAAGTTTACACTTTTGGGGACGCAGGAGGCTGGGGAAGGGGGGTTATGGAGGTCAGGAGAAAGGACAGAGCATTGACAAAGCAGCAGACTGGTGTATTACATCAAGTGCTTTCTCCTTTTCCCCTTAACCCCTGGGACTCAAACATCCTTCCTCATCATTTCTTTGATACAGTGACACTGGCCCTCTGGCTGTTCCATGAACTAGTCACTCCATCTCTTGGCTCTAAGCATTCTCTCTGGCTGTCCCCCATGCCTGGAACACTCTCTTCAGCTTACACGCTCTTTCAGTCCCATCTAAAATCTCATCTTTTACTGGAAGCCTTACCCAACTTCCTCCCTTCCCTTTGTTAATTCCTATTTATCCTCTATATAGTTTGCTTTCTATACATATTTGCATGTTGTTCTCCCCCCCATTAGATTGTAAGCTCTGTGAGGGCAGGGACCATCTTTTGCTTCTTTTTGTATCCCTACTGCTTAACATAGGATCTGATATACGGAAGGAATGTTTACTGATTAATCATTTCATCAGAGAGCAGAACATTTCTGAAAGGTGGGATGGGAGCCAGAGCCATGCATCATGTCATGCCCCAGTTTCATTGAGAACCCAGGTCAGCAAAGGCTGCTCTTCGTCCAACTCTTTAGGCCAATCCAGCTTGGACAGCTAGCACATGCACAAAGAAACCATGTTTACGCATGGGCCAAGAGCTGGCAGGACCCCTGGGCTTGTGCCTGGGGTAATGTACCACCTGGTGGTCAAAATCCTACATTACACTTCCTTGCTGGTTTATGGCAAAGTAATGGTGTCTTCTAGGCTGACAGAAGGCCAGATGTGGGCTGCTATTGCTATTGTAACACATCACATGTTACCTTAGACACCAACCCAGTGCACAATGTCCAGCCAGCACCAATGTCACATCCGCGGATCCTTGGATAGCGTTTGGAACATTGCAAACATAAGGACAGACCGTATCTATGATTTCATTGGTACGGGGAAATTCCAGATAAAGAAACTTCCTTTATGAGTTCTGGTCAGCACTTTCTGGCAGCTTAGTCATAGAGAATTGTGCCTCTCAGAGAGGTTAAGTGACTTGCCCAGGGTCACACAGCCAGTCTGTGTCAACAGCAGGACACGGTCCCAGGTACTGCCTCTCTCTAAGTAGGCATTTAATAAATGCTTGTTGAAGGTCGAATCCTCCTGTGACCTTGAGCAAGTGACTCCTCCATCCTGGGCCTCAGTTTCCTTGTCTGTAAAAATGAGAGGGTTGGGCTAGACCAGAGCATGGCTAAAGCCCCTTCTAGCTGAGAGGTCAGGTCACTTCAGGATTGCGGGAACTATTGAAAGCCAGGCCAACAAGTCTGGTGTCTATCCTTCAGGCAATGAGTAGCTTCTGACGGTTTTTGGATAGGTAATAGGATCAGAAGAGAGCTTTATGAAGATTAATTTGGCAAGAGTGTGAAGAAGGCAGTGCAATCAGAGAGAGAACACTGAATGTGGAATCAGGCACCTGGGTTTGAATCCCTACTCTCCCTGTAACTAGCTGCATTACTTTGAGCAAATCTCAACCTCTGGGAGCTTTTGTTTCCTCACCCCTAAAGTGAATATTTAGACCGAAAGACATTTAAGACCCCTACCAGCTCTAAAAGGCTCTGAGAATCCCCATTTTATACATAAGAAAAAATAATAATAAACCACATTTATATAGCAGTTTAAGGTAGGTGTTGCCCCCCAGATTGTTGTGAGGATCAATGAGATAACAATGTGAAGCATCTCCCAAAACTCAAAATAGCATTCAATCAATAAACAAACACTTAGTAAGCACCTACTGTGTGCCAGGTATGACGATAAGTGCTAAGAATATAAATAAAGGCAAAAAAATAGTCCCTGCTCTCATGGAGCTCAAGGCATGCAAACAGCTCCGTACACACAAGGGGCAGACAGGATGAATAGGGACTTCTCAGGAGAGCCAAGGCACAAGAATTTAGGGAACATGGCAAAGGTGAGTGTTAAGCTGGCACTTGAAGGAAGCCAGGGAGGCCAGGACGTGGGAATGAGGAAGGAGGGCATTCATTCCAGGGGTGGAAGAGGGGCAGTGACTAAAACTCATGGAGCTGAGAGATTGAGCTGAGCAACAGGAAGAGGACTTGAGGGGGGATAAGGTGTAAGAAACCTGGAAAAGTCAGAGCGACGGGGCCTGGGTTATGAAGAGCTTCAAATACCAAACAGGATTCTCGTATTAGAGTGATAATGGGAGTGATAGGCAGCCCCTGGAGTTTACTGAGTAAGGGAGTGACATGGTTAGACCCCAACGGTCAGAAGAGTTGCTTTGGAGATTGAATGGAGGATGGAGTGGAATGGGGACTTGAAGCAGCAGACCCACCAGCAGGCTACTGAAATAATCCAGGCATGAGGTGGTACAGGCCCGTACAAGGGTGTTGGAAGTATCAGGCCTTGGCATCTTATTTCGAGGTAAAAGATAGTAAGGAGTCAGGAAGACACTTAGATTTCGAGCCCGAAGGACAAGGAGGATGGTGGTAATAGTAATAGTAGGGATAGAAGGGATGGCATTTAGTAACAGTAATGGAGAAGTTTGGAATCATGGAGGTTGTGGAGAAAAGATGATACATTCAGTCTTGGACATGTTGAGTGTAAGATGTCTGCGGGTCGTCCAGTTTGAGATGTCGGAAAAGCAGTTGGAGATGTGACACTGGAGATCAGTAGGGAGTTTAGGGTTGGATTCACAAATTTCAGAATTGTCAGCATAGAGATGATAATTAAATCCATGGGAACTGATGAGATCACCAAGTGAAATAGTAAACAGAGATAAGAGAAAGCCAGAACAGAACCTGGGTCCTGCAGGAGACTCTCATGCTTAGCAGATGCAACCTGAATGAAGGTCTAGCAAAGGAGAAAGCTTAGACAGATATGCGGAAGGAAAACCAGCAGATATTATTACTGTGTGGAAACAAGAGAGAAAAGAATGTCAAAGAGAAGTTGGTGACCAAAGGTGTCAAAGGCTGCAGAGAGATCAAGAAGAATGAGGACTGAGAAAAGGCCATTCCAGGGGTGGGGAACCTGCAGCCTGGAGGCCAATGTGCCCTTTTAGGTCCTTGGGTGCGGCCTTTTGGCTGAGTCCAAGCTTTGCAGAACAAATCCTTTTAGTAAGGATCATTTGGAGAGGGCAGTTTCAGTGGAACGATGAGGTCTCGAGCCAGTTTGCAGAGAGTTAAAAAGTGAAAGAAGATAAAGCTGAAGCATGTATTGTAGGTGGCCTTCTTAAGGAGTTTGGGCCACAAAAGGCAGAAGAGATTTGGGATGACAGTGAGAATAAATGGATCAACAGAGGGGTTTTTAATGATGGGAGAGACATGGGTATGTGTGTAGGCAACAAGGAAGCAGCCAGTGGAAGAGGGAGATTGAAGGTAAGTGAGAGGATGGGGATTATAGCGGGGAAGACACAGGCTGTTGTGGGATCATCTGTGCAGGCCAAGGGGTTGGCCTGAACAAGAAGTACCTCCTCATCATGGGAGACAGGGTGGAGGAGATAATGGCAGAATGCATCTGAGTGATGTGAATTCAGAAAGCTGGGGTGGAGGGGGAGGGAGCTTACAGTAAACGGCCTCCATTTTTTCAGTAAAATACGAGATTCTCAAGGTCCTCAGCTGAAAGAGGGTGGGAAGGGAGCCATGGGAGGTTTGAGGAGGGATGAAAAGGCTTGGAGGAGCCACTGTGGTGCATGGGATAGTGAGTTGATAAGGGAGGTATAAAGGATTGCCTAGCAGCAGTGAGGGCCCAGTAGAGGTGATACAACATATATTTATAGTGGACCCCTTCAGAATGGTTGCATGATTTTCTCCACCTTGCTCATCAGTATGTGGAGCAGAGGCAACAGATGGTGGAAGAAATCCAAGACAAACACTTGGCAGGGTGTTTATATCCTCATCGATATAATGAGGAGGCAAGAGATTCAAGAGAAGAGGACAGTATAGAGTTGAACTGGTTCACCCATGGGGCCAAGATGGGAAAAAGAGGAGAGAGTGTGGTTAACAGAGGGGGGAGGGGTAGACTAGGAGAGAACTGAGGGGTCCATCCACAGTACAGATGAAGAACCAGGTTGGGTAATGAAAGGCAGAGGGAGAGGGAGAATCTAGTAGACTATGGTCAGATGAAGGAATTTCTGAGTTCACAAATGTGGAGATGGTGCTTTTATGGATGATGGCAAGATCAAACGTAGGACTGCAGGTGGAGGCGGGATGGAGGAGCAAGTTATGGGAAACCAGTGAAGTGATGACCTGGGGAAGCTGGGGTGTTTAAGGAAGGATGTTGAAGTCCTCTGGTATAAAAGCAGGAGCTAGGGAGGAAAGACTGTGATCCGGGAACTGGATTCACCGAGGGAGGAAGATTTGGAGATCCGTAGACAACAGCTACCAGGATTTTTATTGGGTGGCAGATTTGAATTTCATGAACCTTAAAGGAGGAGAGGTTTCTGAGTGATGGTGGCACCCAGAAACAAGCAGAAGGAACGAGCAAGGAGCATTCCAACCTCCCGCATCAACTGGTAAGCCAAGGGAAATGCCAGGGGAGTGAGGGAAAGTGCAGCCAGTGCCGGAAAGGATGACCACAGAGGCCTCTGCAAGAGCCAGAAGAAGGGAAGAGCAAGCACGGAAAAAACACAAAGATCAAGTCATCATCAAGTGTTACCTGCTTCTTCATCTACAAGAGCACAGCCGGCTGGAGCTAGCGGGGGTCTTAAAGGTCATTTAGTCCAGACATTCATTTTGCAGATGAGGAAACTGAGTCCCACTGGTAAAAAAAAAAAAAGACTTGCCCAGAGTAACCCATTGAGTAAATGTCTGTGACGGGGTTTGGTCTGAGCTCTTCCTCACTCCAGGTCCAGCTCTCCATACCCTGTGCCACCTGGCTGAAGTGACAGGCGTTGGGAGCCCCAAACTTATTAAACTGGCAAATATTATAAAAGACTAGAAACAGCCAGGCCTGGAGTCAGACAACTCACCTTTCTGAGTTCAAATCCAGCCTCAGACACTCATTAGCTGTGTGACCCTAGGCACATAGTTTCCTCATTTGTAGAATGAGCTGGAGAAGGAAATGGCAAACCACTCCACCACCTTTGCTATGAAAGCCCCAAATGGGGTCACAGAGAGTCAGATACAACTGAACAATAAGAAAAGAAACAGTAAATATTGGAGGGATTGATGAAAGAGAGGTACACTAATAAATTCTTGAAGGAGCTTGAATTGGTTTGAATATTTGGGGAAAAAATTGGAACTATGTGAGAAATGTCACTAAACTGTTCAGATGATTTGATTGTGGTAGCCCAGGAGCTTGGGAACAGAAAGAAAGGCCTCAAATACACAAAATATTCAGAGGAACTTATTTTTTTGTGTGGTAACAAAAAAAAACCCCTAGAAAACTGTGGGTGGCCATTGATTAGGGAAATGACCTAACAAATTGTAGTTTATTAAATGTAATAGAATACTATTGTGTTATGAGAAATGATCAATAGGAGGTATTCAGGGAAGGCTGGGAAAACGTGCATGAACTGAATGAATAAGAGGACCCTGGACCCAGAGCTGGAAGATGTCTGAAGGACCAACTATTCCAACCTGCTCATTTTACACCTGGCTCTGATGAAGTAAATATAACTGGGGCACCTGGGTACAATGTGGTTGCTGGTTTGCTTTGTTTGAATGTTTTTGTTTGTACAAGACACAACTCAGGGTTGGGGAGGAGAATACTGGAAGATGGCTGTGGTCTAAAAACACATGTGCTATCACTAGGCAATCACAGTGTCAGGAGACTTATGTGAAAACCAGGTTTATTGCAAGAGAAACGAATAGGCATGTGGGACCCAAAGAGTTCACAGGCCTCACAGAAGTTTGAATATTTATGATAGCATAACCAAAAGAGGAAAAAACAGGAAGGGGCGTGGGATGGAGGGAGAAAGTGCAGTAACCCCTCCCAAAGGGAGGCAAAAGCTGCATTCTTTTCCCTTGGGGGAGAACCAATAGACTGAAGATCAGAAGGTTCACTTATCTGCAAAGGATCCCAGCTGCTTAAGCATTTCCCAGCCTGGCACAGACTGGCTGGCACCTGTCTTGCCTCCCAAGGACACAAAGGGGATCCAGTTTGGGGTGCAAACAGCAAATTATGTCAGCTGGGGGGCAGGGGAGCACTTCGTCCTTGACATATTCAGGGCCTCATACACGTGCTGAGTCCAGTGTCTCTGGAAAATATGGCAACTCAAAAAGACAAGATCAGGGGATGCTTAACGGCCCCAACACTACAGAGGCAGGTTTTATGCTGGCCAAAAATATGTATCACTAAAACAATGGGAGTTTTGCCACTGTGGTGTTTTTTTGTTTTGTTTTGTTTTTGCTTTTGTTTTTTTAATTGGCACAAGAAAGGCCTAGGTGAGTGGAGAAAAATGGTCTTAAAAATTGGTCCTGAAGCTTACCTTTTGTTCTGGTTCAAACTAATTTTCATGCTGAACCAGAAAGGATTTTGGGAATGTCTAACTTTAAGTGAGATAGTTGCCTGGAACAGAGGGTGATAATCTCCTAAACAAAGGGCTCATCCTCAGTGCCAGTGACCAGCACTTTCATCCCACTGAAGCCACAAATACTCCTTGATCGTTGTAATCACAGTTGTTGGCCCTTCCTGATCCAGAATTCTGAAATTCTACTCTTAGGCCTCTTATCCTCTCTTAGACACAGCTAGGTGGCACCACAGTGATGAGACCGCTGGACATGGAGTCAAGAAGACCTGAGTTCAAATCCTACCTCAGACTCTTACTAGCTGTGTGACCATGGGCAAGCCACTTCACCTCTTCCTCAGCTTTCTTATGTGGAAAATGGGGATGATAACAGTCCCTACCTCTAGAGTTGTGAGGATCACAGGAGATAATATTTGTAAGGCACTTGGAAAAGTATCTGGCACATAAGAGACGCACTTCTTTCCCTTCCCCTTATCCTATCATCTCTGCCTATGCTTCATTCCTCCTAAATATATATATATATATATATATATTTTCCCCTCATTGAGACCTGTAGTCACTCTACCCTTTCCTTTATTCCCAGTACATCAACCCTGTTCTGGCTTCCTTAGCGTTAACCAGCCCAGCCTTACAACACTCGTCCTATGCCACACATACTTTTCCAAATCCCATTCTTAGCCCAGGGCCCTTTGCCCCTCTTGAGGGTAGAAGGAAGAATTAAAAAGAGTCATCAGCCTGCTTTTATCAAGGAGAGTTTCCAGCCTCGGTACCTCAGCAGACAGGAGCTGAAATGACTACCACAGTCAGGGTGGAGGTGGCAGGAAAGAATGTGTACAACAGGACCAGTGACACAGCCTCAGCTGCACATCTGCGGTTACCACAAGACCCAGACCACAAAGATATCCCTGGACAAGTTGGAGGCGGGAGGTGACGTCACCAGACCAGTCTCGCCAGACCGGCTAGAGGCATGAGTTGTCCCTTACCCAGGTTTGTGCCCTGGAGCAACCTCCCACGAGTGCCAGCCACACCTGTTGTTTATATTTGTATCTCTCATGTGCAATTGCGATCCCTACGTGTGCCCACTCTAACCACCTGGCAGTGTGTGCGTCTGTGGGGCAATGGACGCCAGGTCTATGGGGGGAGGGGAGTGTTCTGTTGACATTTCATTACTTACTGTCACAATATTTTGGAGATGTCCTGTTTTCCAGAACTAAGCCCAGCAAGCAGCTGTGTCCTGAGCTTGGCATAACAATAATCCTTTGTGCTCAGGATGATCTCACCCTCTGGCAAAGTGTATTGCACCAGGTTTTACTCGGCCATCCATTACATGTTCACAGTCCCTGTTCTTCATCACTGCCAGGTACTGCAATCCTGTTCCCATCATAGAACTCTGCTTCTGTGCTCCGAAGTGTGGGCACGACCCCAAGACAATGACTTCCCACAGGACCTGTGGGAACAGTAACTCAGTACCTAAAAATGATTATGTCATGGTCCACCCCAGGATATATATATAAGACCCGCCTTTAGTCCAGCATGTTAAGATGTCTTCTTTTTTTTGGGGGGGGCAGCTTTCGTAGCATTTTCCTCACTCTGAAATTAATTAAACTTCTGTTTTGCGTCCAGACTCTCTGGTCCCTAGCCTACTCTGTTTGTTCAGCTCCAGCCAGGTTAGAGGCCGATTTGGTCCGGTTGAGATTACTGTACCCTTTCATTAAGCATGCCTTTGCTTTGAACTAATTGTGTCCTAGAACTGATGAGGGAAAAAGTAAATGCATTAGTGTGGATTCAAGAACTATGGTTTTAAGTGGATATGGACCTGTGGAATATATTAAACATGGAGTAGCTATCATGGGGTGTCCCTAATGCCATCAGTATCAATAATCGATAAAACCTAAAAGTAAAAAAAGTGCTGAGAATTAACTAAGTAGCCAACAAATAGTGACTCCCTTGTGTGACTTTGGGCAAGCCACTTCCCCTCTCTGGGCCTCAGTTTCCCCATCTATAGGGGACAGCTTGGTGTTACAATGGACAAGAGTGTTAGGCCTGGAGTTAGGGAAACCTGAATTCAAATCTAGCCTTAGACACTAAGTGGCTGGGTGACCTTGAGCAAGTCAGTTTGCCTCAGTTTCCTCATCTGTAAAATGGGGATGATAATAACAGCACATACCTTGCAAGGTCATTGTCCAGATCAAATGAGATAATAACTAGCACCGTGCCTGGCCCATTTTTGTTGTTCTTGTTCAGTCGTTCAGGCTTCCTGACCTCATGGTTCATGGTTGGCCCTACGTAATTGTTAGCTATTATTATTATAGAAGGGGAGAAGGGTAGTGGGCCAGAAGCTCTCTAAATCCTTTGAACTACAAATCCCAGAATGCACCGTTCTCCAAGGATTTTTTTTTTCCCCCCCCCACCTCCCCAAACAGGAAGCTGGTGTTGCTGAGCGACACCAACTCCCGCTTGGGCCCTGGAGCTGCAAAAGCCTGGGACTTGGATGGTGACTTGGTGGTGCGAGGGCGGGTGCTTGTGATCCCGAAGGAGAGATGGGGGCGGTGGGGGGGGCCTAAGTGTAGGACTGGCCCGGGGCTCGCCAGGGAGGGCGGGGCGGCGTGGGGGAGGGGGCAGCTGGGCGAGGAGAGGTCCAGACCTTCTGCGGGGGCGGGGCGGCATGGGGGAGGGGTCAGTGGGGCGAGAAGAGGTCCAGACCTTCTACGGTGGGCGGGGCGGCATGAGGGAGGGGTGAGGGAGGATGGGGGAGGGGTGGGGGGAGGTCCCGACCGTCTGCTGGGGGGAGGGGTTGACATTAGAACCAGGCTCTAACCCTGACCCCTGTTCTTCTCTAGTGGCCGAAGCCCACGCCATGTGCGAAGGCCCCTCCAAGATTTCTGGCCCCATCCCCCCTGACCCCACCCTGTTCCCCAACTACTACAAGCGCCCAGGCACAGGTAAGCAGCCGCAGCAGGACCCCAGGGTGCGCTGCTTGGTGGAATGGGGTAGTGAGTCAGGCACACCTGGTGGCAGGCATGCCCAACACCCCCATCATTGGCCGGAAAGGTCAGTGGCTTTGGACTGATAGAGCTTCCGTTCTGTCCCTGAAGCTGAAGTTGGCTAAATAGCTGAGCTGAGCTTTATTTGTAAAGTGTATGATATTTTGCAGCATGGCTAATATAGAAGTATATATAATTTGTATCAAATTGCTTGCCTTCTCAAAGAGAGGGGATGGGGAGCGAGGGAGAGAATTTGGAACTCAAAATTAAAGCAAATTTTTAATTGTTTTTACATGTAATTGAATAAAATAAAGTGGATAATAACAATGTAGATGAGATCGTGTAAAATCATGATTTTTATGCCCCTGTTTCACAGGTGGTTGCAAGCAAAGTACTTTCTAGCCCTCAAAGAGCTATACCTGTGAGTTCTGATTAGTCTAGCACCTCCCCTCTCTTGCTTCCTTCCAGCCCGGAGCCTTGAAGGAAGTTCTCTGAAGCTAGGCCTGGAGCCTCCCTGGCAGGGTGCCCCCCTGGACCAGCCTGCCCCTCGAATTCGACCTGCATCCCAGCAGAGTCTGGTGGGCGTTCTCCTGCAGCTCCAGGAGATCTCACTGGGCAGGGAGCCCTTGCCCAAGAGTAAGTGCTAAGAGCAGCAGCCTGAGTCGGCTGGCACCAAGGGAGTTTCCCTTCACCCACTGCCACTTACCTCAGGCCTTGGGAAATGGGATGGGAAGCCAGGAAGACCAGGCCCTCAGATGGAGACAATAACAGGCCCATCCCCCAGGCTAGAGCCAGAAAAGACACTAGACTAGGAAGTTAGGACATGGGGGCTGTGGCCAACTGTATAACTTTGGGCAAATCCCTCCATGCTTTAGTGGCCTCAGGGGCCCAGCATAGTGAGAGGCGGTATGTTTGGTGTCACAGGACACGGGCATTTTCCATTGCCAGCCATTTGATGTTGGACAAGGCACATGGTGGGGCCTCAGCTTCCTTTTCTATAAAAAGAGAGGTTTGGACCCGATGATGTCCAGCCTTCCTTCCAGCTTATAGGAACTTATGAAGTTGCCGGGGGTTCAGGCCTCTGTGCCCTGGAGCAGGCCTGGCAGTGTCTCCCTGATCCCCAGGGAAAGACCTGAAAGACCATGAGAAGGAGAACGTGAGGCGGATCCGTGAGATCCAGAAGCGATGCCAGGAACGGGAGAGGGGACGAGACCCCAGCCGGCCAAAGCCTCTCAAGGCCCTGTGGCGATCGCCCAAGTATGACAAAGTAGAGTCCCAGCTGAAAGTCAAGCTGCAGGTACCTCAAGCCCCCAGACCCTGCCTGGCCAGCATCTGACCTTTTTTGCCTCGCTGGCTGGGCTGAGGGCCAAGGGCTGCAGAGGGCTTGGCTTCAGAGCCTGCCTGCCTGAGTCCCTCTGCTTCTCCCAGGAGCCATGCCCTACCTCTGGACCAGAGTTGCCGGCATTCCTGCGAGCATATTCCCGCTGTGGACCTGGGGTGCAGCCTCGTCGTGTGGCTTCTGCAGGCCTGGCTTTGCCCAGTACTGATGGGTCCCAGACACCAGGCCCTGATGCCAAGGTGATAACATCTACTGGGAATGCTGGGGTTGGGGAGAAGGAAATAGCAGTATGGCGCAGTATGGCCCAGTATGGGAAAAAGGGCTCCCTAAGTGTTCTAGGCCGTCCTTCTCCCTCCACTCCTTCCTGCTGCAGCCCCAAGAATCCTACCATCCATCCTGCTCCTCTGCCCTGTAGGGGCAGGCTCCAGCTGTGGATTTCATCACCCATAATGCCCGTACAGCCAAAGTTGCTCCTGGCGGCGTTCACGCTCCCTCCAGAGTCTGGCTGCGGTACAGGAGCGGCAGCGGCGAGCCCAGGAGGAGTACAATGCCAGGCAGAAGGGCCAGGTGCCTCACTAGTAGGTCCTCACTTGTCTCTTCTCTGTGCCCTGTGCCCTCTAGCCCCAAGAGGGATCTCTTCAGCCTTCGTCAGGAGGGAGGCCAGAGAGCAGATCCAATGTCCACTTAGGGAGGCAGAGCCTCATCCTTTGCTCCACTTTCATGAATGGCTGAGGGAGGTGATTGGGTCTGGTCTGGGCATTTGGCCAGCCACTCACTCTGCCCTTTGGTAGCCTGGTGGAACGTAAAGATGTGTGGTGCCGGGAAGCTGAAGAGCGCAGGCGGAAGCAGCCTGACCCTGACATACCCCCAGGTCATACCATGATGCCTGAGAGCCAGCGCCTGGATACTTTGAACTCCCTTCTGCAGAGTGAGTGTCCAGGCCAATTAGGGGGACTAAGCAGGGCTCTAGGGAGGGGGTGAGGAAACAGATTGGAGCTGTCAAGCCTCCTCAGTTCTTGCCAGTGTGATTCCTTGCTGATTGCAGTCTTGCTAAGCAGCATCCATGTACAGTGTCATACACAGAGTAGTTGGTGCCTGAGAAATGTTTGCTGAGTTATATTGAATCCCGGGGTCCAAGCTACCGAGGAAGGGAGCTAGAACCCTGTGCCCCTAGGCCTTTCCTTCCTTAGGCCAACAAGAACTGCTCCGAGAGCTGGTGCTGCTGCCTTCCAGAGCAGACTCCCTTCGAGCCCAGAACCACAAGGCTGAGCTGGAGAAGAAGCTTTCCCAGGTGGAGGAGGCCCTCAAGATCTTCTCCCGATCCAAAGTCTTTATCAAGATGGATTCCTGAGCTCTTCCCCTCTGGCCCACTGGAGACCCCTCTGCTCCTTCCAAGGAGAGCAGTGCCTTGAGGCCTCCTGGGCAGGAGCTATCTGGCTGCTGGAAGGGAAACTATTGGCACTTGTGGCCCTGGCCCAAGGAAACCCCCCCCCGCAACAGGGGCAGCAGAAGGAACAGGCCCAGGGAGCTATTAAGAATATTTTCCTGTTTTAAAATTAAACCTTTTTTGACGTGAGCAGTGACCCCAAATTACTCCTGACGCCTTCCTAAGCTGACTCCCATCTTTCTCATGCTTCTCTAGAAATGCCAAGCTAAGTGATCATGGAGGCATAGAGATGGGGCTCAGCCATATCAGGCAGCTTGGGGTGGTGGGGGGTGACAGGAGAACAGCTATTTTTGCTAGACCCAAAGCTCCCATACCTCAAAGCTAGACCAAAGCTCAGGATCCTTGCCAGCTGTGGGGACCCATGCTCACAGAGAACAGCCTAAGGGAGTCACAGGCCCCTTTCTGACCTTCCATCCTAGTCTCAGCACTCAGGCTTTAGGTGAGCCTCTCATGGAGGTCCAAAGCCTGAGGGCTGGAAGGAGGAGCTGGCAAGACCATGACATTTGGGGCAGTGCAGGTTACAAGACATCCTGACTCCTTCCCCTTCCTCTCCCTGAGCCAGTGGTGGCCCCTTCGGGCAGAGCCCACTCAGGGCATTCCTGATTTGGCAGGGAAGTGATCCAACCCCCCCCCCCCAAAGTGCTTTCCCTAGTAGCAGAGAAGGGCCAGGGTTTTCTAAAAAAGCTTTACTATTTCATAGATGGGGAGGGGCAAGCGAGCAAAGGCACTGCCTCGGCTCCTGAAAAGGCAGCTCCCCAGCTGGCTGCCAAGGGGAGTAGGGCAGGGAAGACAACTCTCTCCCGGAAGGAGACAGCAGGGGCACCGAGGTCAGGAGCTGTTCTCCCATGTCCCATTGGTCCAAGCAGAGGCTGGGAAGACAGTGGCCCTCAGGGTCCAGCTGGCCAAATCCCAGACTATAGGGTGCTGCCACTGCCATCTTCTCTTAGACTGCCCCCCCGGGCAGGGCTGGCCCCGTCCTGACTGTCCAGTGACTGTAAAGATCCTCGAGAGCCAGGCAGTGAGCGACTGGGGCGCAAGTCCCATTGGGAGGGGGCCAGAGGCACTCCATTAGGGCAAGGAGAGAGGTAGCCAGGCAACCTATGGCTCTCAATGACCAGGTCACTGTCCTCATCGCTGTCTGGCTCAGGAGCTTCCGCAGGAGGGAGGGAGGCAGCAGGCTGAGCGCCTGGAGGTCGGCCCGCCCCGGCCCGCACCACGTTGTTGCGTTGGTTGGCAGGCTTGACGGTGACGATGAGGTTGTGGCTGTTGGCCACCATCATGTCTGTCACCTGGTCCAGTGACTTGCCAGCCACATCAATGCCATTGACCTCAAGGATTTCATCACTGACTGCCAGGAGCCCGGTGCTCTCCGCCAGGCCTCCGCGGACCAGGCGGGAGATGAAGATGCCAGGCACCTTCTCCAGGCCCTGGGGTGCCACGCGGACACTGACGCCATCTCTGATGTAGAAGCCCAGTGGGCGGTCTGAGCCGTGTTTGTGTAGCTTCACACGCCGGTGGCTCTCGGGCAGCAGGTCCACATCGATGACAGAGGAGATCTGGCGGAAGTCCTGGGGAAGGCTGATGAGTAGTGGGGGGCGGGTCCGATGAGGGGCTGCAGGTCGGAGGAGCAGCCCCTTCTTCCGGCGTTGCAATGAGTTGGAGGTGAAGGCCATGCCCGTGGGATCCGCTTCTGCTGTGGGATGGAGCAGAGCTCAGTATTGTTCACTGGGCAGCCCAGCCCTCCCACACCTCAAGCTAGTTGGCTGTCAGGTTAGCTTTTAACTAACTAGCTGTGCTCCAGGGTCCCCAAGCCATCCTAGTCCCCACCTCTAGGCCTCTACAGGATATGGGGGGGGCAGCTAGGTGGTGCAGTGGATAGAGCACTGGCCCTGGAGTCAGGAGTACCTGAGTTCAAATCCAACCTCAGATCAAACACTTGACACTTACTAGCTGTGTGACCCTGGGCAAGTCACTTAACCCCAACTGCCTAAAAAAAATAAAGAAAAAAGAATATGGGAGCCCTTGGCTGGGCCCTAGGGAGGATATCCTGTCTGCCCCATGGTGGGGAGAGAGCCAGCTGGGGCCCATACACTCTCTTCCCCTCCCCCACACAGCATATTGCCTACCTAGTTTTGCCTAGCTCTTCTCTCAGACACAGCAGTTGCCTCGAAGACCCAGGAGTCAAGCAGGAGCAGCAGCAGAAATAGTCAATAAAACCCTACTGGGGGATAATAGGACCCCAGCACTGTGGTGGGTGCAGTATAAAGAGCCCTGGATTTGGAGTCAGGTTCAAATCCTGGTTCTGCTACTCCTTACCTGTGTGACCTTTGACAAGTCCCTTCCCTTCTCTGAGCCTCAGTTTTCTTTATCTGTATAATGACATAGTTGGTCCAGATGATGCATAAGGCTCTTCACATGTTCAAACCCAAGGAGCTCGAGTGCAGGTGGGGAAGAGTACCTAGTTGCCAGGTCACCTCGACCTACCCTGACCTTAGTTTCCCCATCAGCCCCATGTGCAGCCTTAAAGTCTTCTTCCCGGTCATCCTAGTCCCATCTCTGCTGAGCTTGAAGCGCTCCACCCCCCCACCCCCACCCCGTGACAGATTGTGTGTAGTGACCCCCACCGCAGGCCTCTCACCCCTCTTCTGCACGAGCAGGCGGAGGGGCGGGTGCGTGCTCGCCAGCGCCCGATGTAGGTTGTCATCGTTGGTGAGGGGCAGCAGATCCCCGTGCACATCCGTGTAGCCCAGCAGCACGTCCAGGCCCGGGATCTGGTGCACGGCTCGAAGCAGCCTGGAGAACTCCTGGAAGCCTCCCACCGAGGCTCGGGGTAGGGCAAAGCGCCGGAACTCAGCATCGAACTGAGGGGGTGAGGGATAGGGAATGAGTCAGGCTGCTGCCAGTCCTTGACCGGGGCCTGAGCCATCTTGATGGGCAGAACCTCCATCGGCCCCAATAGGCGCTCACACAGACACAGACACAGACACACAGACACAGACACACACACACACACACACACACACACACACACACACCACACACCCGCGAGCGCACACGGAGGCAATGATGGATCCATCCAACCCAACAGCCTGTATCCCCTCCCCTGGGAGGGGACCTTGAGAGCTGGGGGGGGGGGGTCAGGGGCTTATGGGTAAGCTCGGGAGAGAAGGCGAGCCGCGAGGTGCTGATTTAGGCAAGGGGTGGACGCGTAACGAGTCGGGGACAGTGGGGTGCTGAATGCAGGGGACAGCTCCAGGACTCAGCCGCAGCCGCAGGAAGCCCGGGCATAGGGCCTCTCTGCACCCCAGCCCCCCACTCCGAGGGGCTAGCTCTGCGTGCGGGGCAGGGAGCCGAGAGCAGAGCCAGCCCCCCACCCGCCCCTAGACTCAGGCCCACGATGCCCGTCTGGGCATCAGGCGGAGGGAAAGCCGGAGATGGGAGGACAAGGAGCGCAGAGCCGCGGGAGGAGGTTCAGGGATGGAGAAAGGGAGCCAGGACCCAGGCAGGGCGGGGGGCGAGGGGCACGGGGCCGGGGCCCTTACTTTGCTCTTCACCTCGATGATGCTGTCGGGGCTCCGCGCCGGGGTCCGCTGAGGCTTGGCCATAGCTGGGCCGGGGCCGGGCCGGGCCGGGGCTGAGGCCGAAGCGGCGCAGGTGCACAGCCCGGCCCCTCCCCGGCTCCCCCCCGCCCGCGCCCTGCAGCAGTGCCCGCCCCGCCCCCTCTCCGTTCTTCCCTCCCCGCTCCCCTCCCTCTCCGTCCGCGCTGTCCGAGAGCCGCTGGCCCCGAAGGCTGCGGGGGGTAGTGGCGGGGGGAGGGGTGGTGGTGGCGGGCGGGGAGGTGGGTACCGACCATGACGTCATCTGTATGGGGGAGGGGGAGGTCTTCGAACGCCCTAGCGGATGGAACGCGGAGACAACGTTCCCTAGGTAACTGGGGGCGGGAGGGGGAGAAGGACAGGCGACCCACGGTCCGCGCGGACGTGCTCGCGCGTGGGTTTGTGCCCGTGCTCTCCGCACCCCCTCCCTCCCAGGCCCCGCAGGGTTCCCCGCGTCCCTGTCATTACTCGCCGCTTCCCCTCCCGAGCCGCGGGCCCCGCTTCCTCCCCGGTGCAGAGTCGGGGGGAGGTGGGGCAGGGAAGGACATCGTGGCCAGGACACAAATCCCCGAGACCTGACGCCTGGATCCCCGATCCAAGAATTCGGCACCCCCCCCCCAGCAAAGGCACGTACGGGAGACCCGAGGGACCCTGGACAGACCTCCCCATCCCTGACCCCCTCTAAGATAAGCCCCGTTGTCTCCTGTATTCTTTCATCCAAAAAACTGATTAAATACCTACTCTAGGCTTGGGAGCCCTTTGGGCGCTTACATCCCCCCAGGGAGTACAGAGTGAGGTGGGCAGATGGATGGGCGCTAGACTTAATCTCGAGAGACCCCGGTTTCAACCCTGCCCGACAATCCTGCTAGCTGTGGGCAAGTCATTTTCTCTGAGACAGTTTCCACATCTATGAAATGGGCACAATACTTGAACTACCTACCTCACAGGGTAGTGAGGAAGGTAAATCTTAAAGAGCTAACATTAAGGCACAAAGATAGCTAAATAAACAAAATTACCTCCTAATTAGGGAGGTGCAAAACAAAGTTGTTTATGTGGTCCAAGAAGGGTGTCATTACCAACAGAGGGATGGGGAAAAAGCTTCATGATGAAGGAAGTGGCATCTAAGTCGGTTGGAGGATGGTTCTCCAAAGAGAAGAACTCCCTAGAGCTGCTTCCTCTACATTGTGTTACCTTAGGCAAATCATTGATCCTTTCCTTATCTGTAAAATGGGATGAGTGGATGGACTAGATAATATCGGGGGTCCATTCCAGTTCTGTATCTATGATCTTAACAAATGGGGCTGCATTCTCTCTCTCTCTCTCTCTCTCTCTCTCTCTCTCTCTCTCTCTCTCTCTCTCTCTCTCTCTCTCTCTCTCTCTCTCTCTCTCTCTCTCTCTCTCTCTCTCTCTTTCTCTCCATTGACCCAATCTTTTCCTCAAAATAGGGCTGCCTTTCAGTCCTCTACAGGTTAGGTTGCAGGGAATTTCTTTAGCCAGAGTTGCCAGCAGAGAGGACGGTGAAACTCAGTTATCCTGGTAGGTAGGGACCATGCCTTATAGTTGTGTCATGCCAATTTCATCCCCAGGGCTGGTCATTTCTAGCTGTGACTAACTGCTCACTTCTCTAGAAACTGCTTCATGTAAATAGGGGTTTCATGGTATATTTTTGATGCTAACAGTATTTCCCCTCTAAAATATGAAATCACACATGTATTAAGATGCTTATTATTCAGGGAGATAAAAACAGGCTTTATTTTGCTCCATAATTTTCCCAGGGGGTTCCATACCTCCCCAGCAGTCCCTCAGCCAAATGTTTATGGCTTCTGTCAGACATCAAGCACAAAAAAAGGCCAGAGAAGTCTGGGAAAATGCTGCTGTAAGTTATGAGGCAGACTTTTAAAATGCTCTGTAATGGGCAGTGAGGTGGTGCAGTGGATAGAGCATCTGGCCATGGATTCGGGAGGACCTGAGTTCAAATTTCGCCTCAGACACATAACACTTACTAGCTGTGTGACTCTGGGCAAGTCACTTAACCTCATTGCCTAGCCAAAGACACAAAAATGTCTTTTAAAAACAGCGTTTCTATATCCACAGGAGGACTGTCCCCTTCAAAATATTTGGGAAATTGGTTATAGAACTGGAAGACATCTCTGAGAAATTCCTTCTTTTGATAGATGGAGAAATGGGCTTAAAGAGAGGAAATTGCCCTGGGTTGCACAGCATAAGTTGCATAAATAGAAAAGCCGGCATTTGAACTGGAGCCTTCTGACTCCAAAGAATAATATTATCAGCCAACATTTATATAGCACTTACTGTATGCCAGGGGCTTTGCAATTATTATCCCAACTGATCCTCACGACTCTGGGAAGGAGGTGCTATTATTATTCCCATTTTATAGATGAGGAAACTGAGACAAACAGGGTTGAGTGACTTGCCCAGGGCCACACAGCTAGGAAGTGTCAGAGGCCCGATTTAAACTCTGGTCTTCCTGACTTCAGGCCTGGCACTGTATCCACTGCCATCACCTAGCTGCTCATTAGTAGGTGTGTGAGGCCTCGTTTGAACTCCTCTTCTCAACTCCAGGGCCAGTACTCTGTGCACCATGGCGCCACCTAGCTGCAAATGAACGGTTCCTTACAGTATACTTCATGGGGAAGAGGGCAAGGGGCCATTGCTCTCCTGCCCTGCCCCCCCAAGATGCCACTGATAAATTGCAAAACTCTTCTCTGTGCTATCCTTTGGAGCCTGTGGCACATTATCCTCAGCAGTGGTAAACCTAATTTTGAAGGAAATAATCCTAAACCAATACAATTCAATACATTTCTTAAGGGGGCAGATTGACCACCTCATCCCAGGTCTTCTGACTTCCAGGCTAGTGATGATTTCACTAGTGCTGTTAGTTTTGTTTTGTTTTTGCTTTTTGGTGAGGCAATTGGGGTTAAGTGACCAGTCCAAGGTCACACAGCTAGTAAGTGTCAAGTGTCTGAGGTTGAATTTGAACTCAGATCCTCCTGACTCCAAGACTGGAGCTCTATGCACTGTGCTACCTAGCTGCCCCTGTTAGTTTGTTTTTTTTTTAAACAAAAAATCGGTCACACTTAAGGTGCTCAGTTAATAATAAGATTTGTAATAATAATAGCTGGCATTTATACAGTTTTAAGCTTTTCAAAGCACTTTATATATTATCTTATTTAATCAATTCTTTCATGCAAAGAGCATTTCTTTAGTAGTTTACTGTGTAGTGGTGGCTACCTGGCAGTGGAGAAGTTACAAATGGAAGTAAGAAATATGTGATGTCTCACTTACCTTGGGCCACAGTGTGAATCTAGCTTCAGTGGGCAGGGGTGCTCCCTCCAGGTCATCTCAGCCCCTTGCTGAACCCAGGTGTGTCCTATGTCCTCCCAGACCCCTTTAACCTTGTATACCCCAGGTCCGAGAGCCCTTTACTGCTCCATGAGGAAGGAAAGGAAGCAGAGTACACCAAAACTCAGGAAACCACCACCCCCTTGGACATAGAAAGGAGGTAGCATTCCTCCTTCCTTGGAGAGAAAGCACTTGGATTAGAACTCTGGAGCTGCATTCAAATCCCAGCTGTGAGTATGTGTGTGTATATATGGTGTATGTCTATACACAGACACACATACACACATGTGTATATATGTGTGCATATGTACAATATACATACACATGTGTATATGTACATGCATGCACACACATATATATATATATACACACACACATATACATATTGGAATAGTTTGCCATTTCCTTCTCCAGCTCATTTTACAGATGAGGAAACTGAGTTAAACAGGATTAAGTGACTTGCCCAGGGTCATACAGCTGGTAGTGTCTGAGGCCAGATATGAACTAACTCTAGGTATAGCACTTTATTCACTTCACCATTTAGCTGCCCCATCCCAAAGAGATCAAAGAAAAGGGAAAAGGATCTATTTATATAAACATATTTCTAGTGGTGGTAAAAATGAGTGCCCGAGCCCCTCTGCCTTCACCTCCAGCCCCAGTCTGTCTCCAGGCTCTAGCCCGAGGAACAGATTCCGGATCCAGGACTGCAGGACAGGCTTCCACAACCAAATCAGGCCTCCAGAGCCCAGGGCAGAGGCTAGGGATGGCCAATCTCTCATTAATAAATGTATTGAATTGTATTGGTTTAGGATGATTTCCAAAAATCAAGTCCACCTCCAAAATTAGGTTTGCCACTGTGCCACAGGCTCCAAAGGATGGTAAAATACATCTATTTCTTTGTGGTGGTAAGAAATTGGAAGTTGAGGACATGCCCATCAATTGGGGAATGGATGAACAAGTCATGGTATATGATTGTGATGGAATACTATGTGCTCTAAGAAATGACAAGCAGGATTGTTTGCAAAAAACCTGGGAAGACTTATATGAACTGACGCAAAGTGAAGTGAGCAGAACCAGGAGAACATCAGACACAGTAGCAGCCATATTGAATGATCAACCCTGAATGACCTAGCTATTCTCAGCAATACAATGAAGCAAGACAATTCAGAAGAACTTGTGCTGAAAAATAATGTCCACCTCCAGAGAAAGAACTGATGAAGTCTGAATGCAGATGAAGCATGCTTTTTTAAAACTTTTTTTGCATCTGTTTTGCAACATGACAAATATGGAAATATATTTTGCACGACTGCACACATGTAATCTATATTGAATTGCTTGCCTTCTCAAAGGAGGAGGGGAGGGAAGGGAGAGAATCTGTAACTCAAAAATTTTTTTTTAAAAGTTAAAAATTGTTTTTATGTGTAATTGGAAAAATTAAAATATAAAAAAAAAACACTACAGAAATCAGTCAGTAAACATATATTAACTGCCTTCCATGTGCCAGGCTCTGTGCTAAGCTCTGGGGAAATAGACAAAAGACAGTTCCTGTCCTCATGAAGCTTACAATCTGATGGAGAGGACAACATACAAATATATGCAAACTATATGGCGGATAAATGGATAATTAACAGAGGAAAAGCAGTGGAATTAAGAGGGGTTAGGGAAAGCTTCCTGTAGAAGGTGGGATTTTAGTGGGGACTTAAGGAAAGCCAGGGAGGTCAGGAATCAGGGCCGAGGAAGAACATTCCGGGCACCGGCCGGAGAGAATGCCCACCAAGAACAGTCAGGAGTCACTGGATGGAAGAAAACGTGCAGGGGAGGAAGAAGGCCGGAAACGTAGGAGGGGGTGGGTTAGGAAGGGCTTTGAATGACAGCGCTTTGTATTCGCTCCTGGGTGCAATAGGAGGCGACTGGAGGTTATTGAGTGGGGGGTCGCGTGATCAGACCTGCACTTTGGTGGGTGGAGGATGGACTGGATAGGGGAGAGACCCACCAGCAGTTACCACAGTAGTCCAGGGGTGGCTGATGAGGGCCTGCACTAGAGTGGGGACAATGTCAGAGGACAGAAGGGGGCCGCTACAGAGATGACGTTGAGGGGAAATGGGAGCTGCACAGACATTAAGACACAGCCGCGAGAGGACCGCGCGAGCTCCTACGGACACAGGCCTGACGCCGCGCACGCGCGCACGCGCACACACGGAGCGCCCGAGCATCAGGGGGCGGGGCCGAAGGCAGGACTTCGTCTGAGATTAGCACTTCCCCGCCCAGACTAGCGGTTTCCTCTTCCGGAGACAGGGGTCAATCAGGGAGGCGGGAAATAGCGCGCATCCGTCGCCTCTGCCCCGGGCTTGGGCGGCCCGATTTGGCGGCCATGGCGATGTCGTGGAAGCCTGTCCTGCAGCCCTGGATCCGGGAGCTGCTCCTCGGGCTGGAGCCTGGAGAGAGCTCCGGTCTGGAGGAGAAGGGAGAGGGGCTTGGGCAGCTGCTGGAGGTAAAGAGGGTGCAGAGAGGGGCGTGGCGGCCCCAAGGGTGTAGCCTAGGGTTAAAGAGGAAAGGGTGTGGTTAGAAGATAGGGGGAGAGGCGGAGCCATTGGGCGGGGGGGGGGGGCGCGGCCGCGGCCAATAGGGCGAGCGATGTTAGAAGAGAAAGCGGTATTGGGTGGCTCGGTTAGAGCCACTGGGTAAGGGGTGTGGCCTTGGGGTAAGGGAGGTGGAGTCACGTCTTGGGGGCGTGGCCGTCGAGGGCTAAGAAGAAGTCATTGGATAAGGGATGTGGTTTTGGGCGAGGGGGTGGTATCACATATTGGGGCGTGGCCATGCCTGCTCTTGAAAGGGGCTCTTTGGGCTAGGGATGTAGTCATGGGGCCAGGGGGTGGGATCATCCGTTGGGGGCAGGGCCATGGTGACCCACGGTGATCTCTGCAGGTGATTGAGGAAGCAGAGCCTGGAGGGAGCCTGGAGCTGCCTGATGGAGCGGCCGCTGCCATCCTGCTGGTGACCGACGGGACCCACAGTGTGCATTGCCTGGTGACCCCCGAGGCCCTGAGCATGGCAGCCTGGTGAGGGGCCCTGGCTGGATCTCAGGTTCCCTCGTGGGGCTGGAGGGACGGAGTATGGGGGGAAGGGTCGATGGAGGTTGTGTGAGGGGGTATTGGGGAAGGGGTGGTCTGATGTGGGAACTCCTGCAGGGAAGAGAAGCACTTTGGTTTTAGGAGGGCAGTGGGCCGGCTGCTGCTGCTGCAGGACTTCAGAGTGTCGGTTCAAAAGGTGGCTGAGACTTCCATGGTGAGTGGGGGACAGGGGACTTCTCTGGGCACGGGGTGGCAGCTGGTGGGGGAGGAGTGGTCAGAAGGCTTCAGCTCTACCTGACTTTCTTCTCCAACCTGCTCAGGGGAATGGGGAGTTCTACCTGTGGGTACATCGCTTCATCCTGCTGCCCACGGAGCTCCCCAGGGAGGGAGTGACAAGCTGGTGAGAGGGTCCCTCCTTTCCTTTTCAGAGTCCCCTGTGCCTCCCAGACCCCTTTCTTATACTGACCATTTTTTCATCTCCTCTCTCCCCTGTATTGATTTCCTTCATTGATACCTTCCCTCCTTTTTCAAGGAACTCCTGATCTCAGTCTGGCCTCTGCTTGAAGACACTTTTGGGGTGGGTGGAGCTCCCCCCTCCGTTCATGGCTTAGTGGGTCTATAATCCTTATTCCTCTTCCTCAAGACCATCTTCCCCAATCAAACCTCTGTCCCATCCCTGTCTTGTGCCTCAGGGCCCTAATCTTCCCTTCTCCTCCTAGTTTCTCTGTTCCCTACACTGACCCTCATTGCCCAGGGGAGAAGGGGAATCCCCAGTAACTGTCTTCATTGTCACTTTAGTAACTGGGACCCAGCTGTTCGAAGAAAACTTAAGGAGTATAAAAAGTGAGTATGTGCTTGGAAGAGAAGGGGGTGGGAGCAGTGGGGAGGTGGGAAGAGCTATAAGGGAGACTTTGGGACCCAGGAGTGGCTCTTAAGCTACAAGAAAGCTTTGTGGGGGCCTGGGGTCCTAGGGCCCACTAAGGCCCAGCTCTCTGCTCTGTCCCTACAGGCACCATGAAAGGGAGAGGACTCCCCCTAACATAGGTACCCCTGGGAGTCCTGGTGGGGATGGGGATGGACTGAAGGAAGAAGGGAGATATTTGTTTTCACTCCCTCACTCAGATCCATCCTCCCCCAGATCGAAGTTCTACATTGTCCCAGTTGCTGGAAGAGATGTGTGAAGACCGACGGAGCTTACTAAGCTGTCAGGCCCAGAGCTGCCTGGAGCTGGGAGGTTCCCAGGGGGGTTCTCTGCCCCTTACTCGATGGGAAGCCTCTCGAAGGAGGGCCCAGGTTTGGAGAGGGTTGGGGGCTTGAGAGAGAGAGTTTGTGAGTGTATGAGAGTGTGTGTGCATCACTTAACGATGCCCTGGCCCAGTGGGAGGAGGGGGTGGTGAGCAGCTCAGCAGTAAAGGAGGCGAATGTCATGAGATGTAGAGCTGTAAGGGATTGTAGAGATCATTTCTAGTCCAGTCTCATTTATAGAGGAGAAGAGAGTTGGCTCCTGGAAAGTCAGTTTTCCAAGTTTCAAAGCCAAGTCGCATGTTCCTTTCCTGTCCCCCACAGGGAGAAGCTGTGTTCAGTATTCCAGGCCTGAGGCTGCATATTAGTGAAGAAGAGGAGGACACCCTTCAGAACCTGAGGGCAGGTCAGGGATCCCTATGGGGAAGTGGGAGAATGCACTGGTTTGGAGGCCCTCGGATCTGTGAGTGGAGACCAGAGTGGCTCACTGTGTGTTTTCCTCCTGCCCCAGTGTCTGAAAACAGCCCTGAGCTTCAGAGTTTAGAGAGGACCCCAGCAGACCCCTGGCAATTACTTCCTGCCCTGTCCTTGACACAATCCTCTTCCTCTTCTTCTTCCTATGTAGGTAGGTGAGGAGCAGGGGTGAGGTGGGAAGGGTCCCAGAGCAATCTGACTGGAGCCAAAGGACAGAGGTGGGGCAGCACTGCTTGGCCTGAAACACTCTGCCTTCACCTCCTCTCCCAGAGCTTAGTGATGTCTCTGGCTTCCTTCCCTCTCTTCTGTCATTGCCAGAGGCCCTGGACTGTTTGCCCTTCTCGACTGAGGGAAGCCCAAGTCACCTAAAGGATAACTTCACCAACAACCGGGAATCCCCTTCTTCCGGGTGCAGGGAGCCCATCGACCTGTCAACTCTGCTCTTTCAGAGCAGTGGGTCCTCTTGTATCCAAACTTCCTGCCCCCAGGAACCACCACAGGACGAGCTCCCTCCAGCTCTTCCCTCTTCCTCCCAGGCAGCAGCCAGTATATCTAGGGACAAGTGGGAAACCCCCCAGCATCAGTGGCCATCAGCAGCCCCTTGGAGCCCTGTTGAGGACTAGGGCTAGGGCTAGGGCCAGGGGAAGCAAGGACAGACCAGGAAACAGGAGGGCCAGCCTGGAGTTCGTGAGCAAGAGGGCCAAGGGTACCCTCTGGGTTCCAGAGAGTGCTCCGTCAGGCAGCTCCAGCCCAGGAGAAGGCCCAGCCTCAGCCAGGGTGAGAGGGGGGAACAGGGGGGAGGTGGTGGATGGAGGGGGCCGGGGGGGGGGAGAAGAGAGAAAAGGATGATCCTCTGTACTGGAGGGAATTGGGGAGGGAACAGGCTTTGGACTGGTTGACTTTAATTTGAAGGTGGTGTCTCCCCCCACCTTCTTCCTTTTTCCCCATAGGTCCCTCCAGAGAGACACCTGGATGGCTCACCTTTCCAGTACAAGTACCCAGAGCCCTGTGTCCGCCTCTGCTCCCAGGTTGTAGCTACCAGGTTAGTGTCTACCAGCCTTCCCTGTTTGCCTTCCGCTGGAGGGGCTCCTGTCCTAGCCTGTCACCCCTAAGCCTAGTCTCTGTCCCCTCCCCCACAGACTCTGCCCATCACTCCTGGACTGGGCCAGACAAGTACTAATGGAGAGCGACCTGGTGGAGGTGTGAGAGCTCAGAGATGCCGCAGATGCTTGTCTGCACTCTCATCCTTGCCTTGGGGGCCAGAGTTAATAAAAAGCAGAACTGCAGTCCTCATCTCTTCCTTTTGGTGCAGAGGAAGTACCTTGGGCGGGGTGGGAGGAGAAGGTGATCAGTTCCCCCATCCTCACCTCAGTGAGGGCACAGCTAGGATGAGGTTTGAGTTTTTTAATAAAATAATCTCATGCGGCCGAAGGTGTGAGGGTGGAGGATTAGGTCAGGGGCTGGGGGTGGCAGGGGCTTGGCTGCCCACTCTTTGGTCTGTGGCTGGGGAAGGGGTAGTCGAGGGGATGGACTCCAGGCCGGCAGGCACCTCTGGGGGCAGCTCGTCTGGTGGCAGCAGCAGCTGGGGCTCTGGGCTCATGGCTGACCCTGTAGGTGGAGGCACACAGCATGCTTGAGGCTTAGCCCCAGCGCTGCTGATCCCCCCATCTCTAGCCCTTTGGCCTCAGTTTCTCCACTTCATGCTTCCCTCCCGCCCCCAGTCCCTGCCTCTTTACCCAGACTCGGTGATGATGAGGGGTCTTCAACCCGGGGACGACGTTTGAGGACAGGAGAGCGATGTAGCCGCAGGGGCAGGTCTCTGATGGGAGATGTGGCTGCTGGGTTGAAGAAGAGAGGTTCTGGGTAACTCCTGGAGTTGGGGGGGTGATCCCAGCCCATCCCTTCTCTGTCCCCAGCACCTTGCGTGTCCCTTCATTTCTGTCTCTTCCCCCTGTCTCCTCCTTCATGTTCTTGTGCTCGGGAACCTGTGCTCACCTGCTGGGGCCTGGAGCTGTTCCTCGTGCACAGATACAGCTCTTCGGGTGGCCAAGACAGCTCGGGGCTTCAGGTGATTGTCTGGAGGTTGTGGTGAGGAGCAAATGAGATACACAAAGGGCTTCGAAGACCTTCAGCTGCTACCTAAACTCTGTCATCATTGTCATTACATGGCTCTTCTGTGACACACCAGGCTCTTTCTCTACACTGGCTTCTTGAAACGAAACTGGCCTCTCCCCATTGCCATGATCACCACACTACCTGAGGCTCTCATCTAGACTAGGTTGCAATGGGCGGTCTCCCTCTCCAAATCAGGCAGATTGCCAGGGAAGTTAGTTGTTTTAACCGATCACCCTTATGAGTAAGTCACTTTCTCAGAATTTTCAGTGGTTCTCCATCTCCCACAGCATCATTTCTACCCCTGGAGAGCCTGGTGTCCGAGGCTTTCCACAGTGGAGCCTCTCTGAGGCCTCTTGTCCATCCAGCTGACCCTGCCATCATCTCCAGCCACGTGCCCTATTTCTAGCTGGCCTGGCACATATCACTCCTATCTGGAATCTCCATCTGTCCAGTTCCTACTCATCCATCCATGACAGCTCATCTCTTGAGCTCCGTAAGCCTTGAAAATGCTTTCCTACTCACCATCACTCCAAGAGAGACCCTGTTTATTTTCCCCCATCTTATAGCTAGAACTGAGACTGAAAGGTGCCTGAGTGTAAGGTTCACCTCCTCTCTGAGGCCTCCTGGATTCACTTCATCTCAGTGATCTCTGTATTTGATCTGTCCTGTGATAGAACAGGGTGAACGTATCCTGGCATGTATCATTCTCCAAATGGATTATTAAATGTCCAACACCTGGCTTCTCACTGGACTATGACCCTGAGGTGGGCAGAGACCCTCTGGGTCCCCTAGCCTGGGTGGCTGTTGTGAAAAGAGGTTTTGAGCTAGGGATGTCCCCTAGCCATACCTTCACTCCTGGTCAGGGTAGTGCCCTGGGTGAGCTGGCAATTCCCAGCATTGCTGGCTCTTCGGGGGGACAGCCGAGGGGATGGGATGGGACTGGGACAGGGGCTTGGGAAGCTGGGCTCAGGTTGAAGAAGGTTAGGGGAGGGTGTCCGGGGTCCTGGTCGGTCCCAGCCCTTCCCTCTGAGCTCTGCATTCAGCTGCCGGCCCAGGGCCTTCCAGGCCACAGGCTCAGGCCCCCGGCCTCCTGGTCCTGGACGGCATGATGAGTCTGAGCAGAGAGAGTATATGGGGGGCCGAAGTCAGAAATGACCTGAACTCTCAGCCAATCATGCCTTCCCACCCGAACACCAAACTTTCAGACAGACCTGGCACCTCCCCTGACCTCTGGTCCCGGGTAGAATGGGGCTATGTATTCATCAAAGGTCCCATACGGTGGGAAGGTGGTTTGGATAGGGATGTGGAAAGATAACCTGTGCATTCTCCAGAGAGGTTCACCCATCACCACCTACCTGCAGACACTGAGTGTGTTCTGGACTTGAGGGAGAGGGGCGGTGACTCAGTGGAGCTGTCCATGATGTCTCCTGGAAAATGAGGGGTTGGGCAGCCGAAGCTCTGTGGTCATCTTCTAGCCTATGTCCCAGGGCGCCACCCCTCCTTCATTAGCCCGTTTCTGCCACCCTGCTGTGGGGGTGGGGGTAAGGAGGGAAGACTGCTGGCCAAATGGGGAAGAGGGGCTTTGACCCAAAAAAGAGGCACTCCCACACCCTCCTACTCCAAAAGCAGAGGCCCCACTCACCATCCGAGCCGGCCTTCTTTATCTCCCCATCTTTGCTCTGGGGGAGAATGGAGATAGTAAGTCAAAGAGTTCCCCTCTTCTGCCCTCCTCCCAGTCACTCAAAGGGCCACTTTTACCCTCAACACAACACTCCCCAGGGTGGCGAGTTCCCCATAGCCCCCGTCCTCTGATGAGGTGTCACGGTATTTCACACTTCCCACCTGGGTCAGTGCTGTCTTGCACAGCCCAGGGAAGCTCCCAGGTTACCCCACGGGCTCTTCCTCTCACCTGCTTCCTCTTGCTGTCACCTCCACCACCCCTTCCCACACCAATTCGCTGCAGCATGACGTGCACTCGCTGCTCGAAGGATGGAGGCATCTCTGTGTCTCCTCGCTCCAATGGTCGGCGCTGTGGGGAGTTGGGAGGAGTCAGGGAAGCTCGAGAACTAGGGGGGCAGCTCCCTTCCTCAGCTCTAGTGCAAAGCTCCCACCCCACACCCAGGAAGGGCCCCAGTTTGGGGAAAAAAGGATGCTTCACCAGGAAGGTGAAGATGGGAACCGTGTATCTAGCTTTGCGGGTGGAGAAAGGGTAGCCAGAGAGGGGGCCTTCACCTTCTCCTGCCGCCCACCGAGGGCCTCTTCCTCATCTGCAGAAAGCAGGATCATAGAATGAGCTTTGCCTTCTCTCGCGTAACGAGGCCGACTCCTACGGGCGGGATCTGGGGAGCAGCTGGGCACTCCCTCCAAACTCCCTTCGACTCCAGGTTCCTCTGCTCGGCCAGGCCGGCTGGGTGGACGCAGAAGGTCACTGAATGCGGCTTTTCGGGTTCGGGGAGGAGCTCCAGGACTGGTGTCAGGCTCAGCCCTAGACCCCCGAGTTGACCGTGGCTTTTTGAAGGCAAAAAGGGTGCCCAGCTTTTTCCGGAGTGTTCGGGAGCTGACAGGGGTCCCAGGTTCAGGGACTGCATCCTGAGGGGACCACCTATAGGGACAGAGTCAAGTAGAATGGAGTGGGATCATAGGAGAGAGCTCCCAGTGTCCCTCAAGATTAATCTTAAGAGCAAGAGAGCTGACTGGTCCACGTGGGGTCCCTTCCAATCCTGATCACTCCCACGCCTGACTACTTCTAGACCGGCCACTTGGCTCAGCACTGCCAGCCTTGGTAACTCCGGACCTGGTCAGATGGAGCTCCAGCTACTCTTGGCTTGGTCATTCCCGTGCCTGCCTAGACATTCCTCACCTGGCTGCTCCTGGTTCTGGTCATTCCCAGGCATGGTCCCTTCCGATGCTAATTACTCTTAGCTATTTACTCTCAATCATGGTAATTTCTAGCTCTAGAAACTTCCAGCTGTAGTTAGTTACTCCCAGGTCTGGCTAATTCCAGCCTCAATGCCAGGCACATAGTAGGTGCTTAATAAACGTGTTTATTGACTGACTGACATTCCTGGCTATTCCTACAAATGGCCACTTCCAAACTGCCATTACTTCTGGCCTCAAGCACTCATTGCTATCAGTCAATACGCATTTATTAATCACCTGCCACTTGAGGCACTGTGCAAAATGATGGAGATTCGAAGAAAGATAAGAAACAAGGAGATCAATGTCACTGGATCAAAGAATGGGGGTGAGGAAAGAGACTGCAAAGGTTGGAAGGAGCCAGATTATGAAAGGTTTTAAAAACTGAACAGATTGTAGATTTGATCCCGGAGGTGACAGGCAGCCCCTGAAGCCAACTGAGTAGGGAATGGAATGACACAGTCAGACTTTGACTAGAGCAGGTTGTTCAATCCCAGATGAGGTGACAACTAACCAAGGTCATTTCCAGCTGTAATCGCTCCCCATCCTGGCTGAAGGTACCTCTAGGTACTCCCAGCCCCAAGCATTTCCAGCCCTGCAAACTCTCATGCCTGGCTGCTCACAGTCATGGTCCTTTCTAGCCAGTCATTTCTGATCCCCCTTCTCTCTCATCTGGTCATTCTCATCCCTGATTGCTCCCCATTCCTGGGTCACTTACAGTCTCTCTTGGTGTATCAGTCTCTTGGAGAAGAACTCATCGACACCTTCATCCACCCGGGCATTCAGCCTGTTCTCCTCCTCAGGCACAGCGGGAGGCACCTGGGGGCACAGGGCACCTCAGGAACTCATATAAGGCTCCTTCCCTCCCAGGCCAAATTCCTGGGCCAGGAAACCTGGAGCAGAAGCAGGTAGAGCCCCTGGCAGGGAGTGGCATGGCTAGTGCCCACCTTTCCCATATCCTGGGGACCCTGGAGTCCTGGTTCCTAGTTCCAATCTCCTTCTCTAGTCTTGGGTAGGGCAGGGCTATGCACTCATCCCAGGTGCCAAGGGGGTAGGGTGGGGTGGGGTGGGAAGATGGTTAAGAGAGGGGCCATGAGAGATGTCCATAGTCACCTACATCACAAACAATCATAAACACAGTCGAACAAAAGAAGGCAGTCACGTACATGCACAGGCACATTTGTCACTCACACACACACACACACACACACACACACACACACACACACAGCCACATAAAGTTAGTCCTAGTCATACTTTCACATACACCATCACATTCATGCCACCATTCACACACACCCACAGAGACAATCACACGCAATCAAAGGTACATTCATACTCATACAGTCTCCCACGATTTCTACCTCCCCAGCACCCAGCTGGAAAGTCAGCCTTTGCTCTGATCACCTTCCTGCAGTGTGTTTTCCCTTCCATCCCTCCAGCTCCACCCCCCCCCTTCTCTTCTCCTGCTGCGTCAGACTAGCTGGGGAGACTTCAGCCTTCTCTTTCTACCACTTTCTCCTTTCTTTTCTTTGCTGCAGAGCCCCCCTACTCAGCACTATTATATGGCTGACCCACGTGGTGGCTAAAGATCCCCCAGTTACTCAGCAGCCCAAGTCTTCTCCCCACCTTTTCAATTCTTCTTGGCCCCAACATCCAGCCTCCCCCTTAACTCCCAGAGCTCAGGACCAGGCATGTGGGGGAGGGAGGGAAAAAGCAGGCAGCAGAGGGCAGGAACTACAGGGCATGGGGACCTTGGAGAGGGAAAGATGAGAGATCCTGTCCTTGTCAGTGCCCATGGGCCTAGCTGCCTAGCTGTGGGGTAGGAATCAGTCTCACCCTTTTTCTCACATCTGAGGCCCTATGTAGACCCAAAACTGGAGACTATAGCAGGGTCACAGGGTCACAGGGATATAGTGGTTTCTGGCAGTGTTTGGGTAGAGGCAGGGAATTGGAGTAGGAAGGAGGCTTGGATAGGAAGCTCAGGGCCCTAGAGGCAGTTTCAAAGAAGCAAGTAGGCCCAAGGCTGGGCCTCCCTCACACCTCAAACTCCTACCCACACAGTAATCTGTTTTGCGGTTTTTGTTGTTTTTTGGGGGGTGATTTCCTAGATTTCAGACCTCTGGTTCTCAGGCTCTGTTCTTTTTCTACTGTCCATACCTAATATTCAGGCCTAGTATCCTAGCATCCATTGGCTCCAGAGATGAGTAGGAGGCAGACAGAGCCTCTAGCATCTTCGGGTTGGCCAGCTCACTTGTCCTGTCTTATTAGACTCCTCTCCTTCCTCCTTTCTCCCCCTCTCCTCCCTGCCTAGGGTGAGCAGCCAGGCCTTAGAAGTGTGGCCAGGCTCCCTCATGTACACATCTCACTGTCTCCAGGAACACTTTCTCAGGTACCCCAATTCCTTTCTTGCTCACTAGGCCCTCCTCCCTGTATACAGGAGGTCAGGCCACCCCCATGAGTTATAGCTCCTGCCCCCTGCTTCCTGCCTTCTTACTTCCCCCCTACCTTCGTGGCCTTGAGCTGTGTTACTGTGGGAAGATGAGGGGGAGGCTAGATGTTGAGCCCAAGAGGAGTTGGGGAGGGGTCTGGGAAAAGGAAGAGGGAGTGATTAGGGATCTTCATCCAGGTAGGTCAGCCTTGCAAGGATGCTAGGGGAGGCTGGAGTGGGTGTCAGAACCAGGATGTAGCAACTTAGGGCACCTAAAACAGAAACCTTTTTCAGACCCTTCACTGGTCTCCAACTCTACCGCCTTCAAATACACACACATAAACGTGCACATACATGCATGTCCCCTGCCAGGAACATAGAGAAGACAGTCAAACACATGGTTCCCCAAGGGTACATACAACCCCAGCCTCACACAGTCACACCCACACCCACACAACTGACACACACCCAGGCAGATTCAGAAACACACTATGGACAGATAGGCTGAGGTACACGGAATCCCTCACACAGCCTTCTTCCACTTACACACATGCAGTCACACATACAGCTGCCCTCCATAGCCTTAGACATATGTACACATATGTGCCCACACATATGGTGACACATACACTCTCCCAGTCAGTCGTACATAGCTCCATACACTTACTTGCTTGCACACTGCCTCCCACAAAGTCACAGCCTATTTTACATACAGTCATGCACATAGAAATATTTTGCACACACAGATAAAAGCCGCCTTCCCCCATCCTCACCAGCAACTCCCCTTCCCGGCTAATTAACCAGCCAGTTCCTCGATGGCCCTGTCATCACAACAATCCTGAGGGCCCCCCACTCCACATACTTCTCCGGGTAGGGTGTTGTCAGAGGGCAGGTTGGGCTTGCCAGACAGAAGAGGAGGAAACACCCCCCCCGGGGGGAGGGGAGGCCGTGGCAGCGCCAGGGGCATCCTGCACTCCCGACCTTCCCCCTCCCCCCCGCACCAATCTCTGGGCCGGGCAGCGCCAGGGGCATCCTGCATCTCTCCCCCGCATCCCTGGGCTGTGAAGCACCGGGAGCATCCTGTCCGCTCCTTCCCACCAACCCAACCCTCGCATCCCCTGGGCCGCAGGGCCGGGCTCACCTGGACCTTGCTGGGCGGTTGGTGGTGACGGCGGCAGGGCCTTGGCCGGGCCCGAGTGGGGTGGTCCAGCGGCTGGCTGGCAAGCGGCAGGTCCATGTAGAGCACAGGGACTGCGGGGAGCGGGGTCGGGACCGGGCCAGGCTGGGACGAGACTGGGGCGCTGCTGCTAAGTGACGGCCCCGCCCGCTGCCCGCCGGGTTCTGCATCCTCTCCCTGAGCCGCCAGCTCGGGCTCCGGCTCCGGCTCCGACTCCGGCTCTGGCTCCAGCTCCGGCTCCTCCGAGGGACCTGCGGGGAGGGGGCGGGGGAGAGAGGACTGAGGGCAGTAAGGGAGTGTGTGTGAGGTGGGGGCGGGGGGGGCGGGGAACCCCGCCCAGGGCGGAGGGAGAGGCACCTCCCCCTTTCAGCCCCTCTCCTCCCAGTCGGCCCGAGGGCGCTGTCCTGGGTGCTGAAGAAGCTCAGGCCTTGGCCCCCGTAAGGGATGGAGCCGCCACTCCCTGAGTAGGAGAAGAGTTAGGAGGGGTGGACCTGATCCTGGATACTGGGCTGGATCAGTAGCCCCCAGCCCGGAGACAGGGCAGAACCACCAAAGGGCACGACTCGGCATACCCACCATGACACCCCCTCCCCCAACTCAGCATTCTCAGAGAAGGATTTGAGCAGGTAGATGAGGCTGAGATCAGGTCTTAACTGGATACCCCCTCCCTACCAAATTCTCCCCCTCGCCAGTCACCCAGTCATTCCTAGTGCTAGAGCCTTTGACGTCTAGCTGATCAATAGTGGGGGAAGGAGGCCTGAACTGGCACTGATATCCTCTGGGTTCTCTCCCACAGCTGTTTTGCTCATGACTCAGGGGTCTTGGAGGAAAAGGTCCCCAGGGACTAAGTATGCGGGTCTGAGCAGTACTCATTCGGCAATAGGCACAAAACTCTCTGCCAGGCTTGCCCTGAGGATAGGTAGTCTCTGGAAAAACCCTTTCCTACTTCATTCCCCTGCAAGGACACTGAGAGCCAGAGGGTCAGGGGCCCAGGCCTTACTTCGGACAGCAGGGGTAGGCCGGATGCTCTGATTGTGTTTATTTCTTCTCCACTGGGCCACCTTGTCCTGGGGGTGGGGAAGGAGAAGGACAGGACCAGGCCTCAACCCATCTGCCTCAGAACAGAAGGTCTCTGGGGGAGGAGGTGGGCAGAAGGTCTGGAGGCTCAGTTCATGCCTCCCTGAAGAATGGAGCAATTCTAAGAAAAGAATTCTGAGAGGCTCAGAATCCATAGTTAAGTCAGGGTCTGACAGACTCTTAGAATGGGAAGGGACCCGTTCAGATCCTGCAGTCCAGGGGTTCTTAAATTGTAGTTTGTGGATTTGTTTTAAAGAATATTTTGATAACTATATTTCAGTAGAATTGGTTTCTTTGCAATCTTCTGTATTTTATTTTGTGCATTTAAAAACAAGATTTTAAGAAGGGGCTTTATCAGACTGCTACCAAAGGGGGCCATGGCACAAGAAGGGTTAAGATTCCCAGAGCTGGTCCAACACTCTCATTTGACAGATGGGGCAAACAAAGTCAGGAGGTAGATGCTATTTTCAGGATAGTCACTGTGCTCTGGAAGCAGGGGGAGCTCTGTGCCTAAAATCTTGTATAAGTGGGTGGAAAGCAGGGACACGGGCTGGTAGAGGAAAAAGTTTAAGTCACTTGGACATCCTGCTGGCTGGCCTAGAGGAGGCTTCCCTCCTCCAGGAGACCCAGGGCACAGCTGTAGTAAGTGGCAAAATAGGGCCTTGAACCTGGGCCTCCTCTTGTCACTTTTGGAGCATAGAGACTTGGAAGTCAGATTGTCTTGAGAATTCAGAAAATTTAGGAATTCACCAGTGGGAATTTGAGGGACTGGGAACTAGTCTTGTGATTTTAGATAACTGCTCATGCAAGATGAACTGAGGGGTGGGGTATGGGGCATGTCCTCCTCTCCTTGGAGAATTCAGACCCTTAGGAGTCCTACCTTGCTGGTGGGGAAGAGGAGCTAGTATGAGAAGCCACCTACCTCCCCCAGGGTAGAGAGGCCTTCTATCTCCCCCTCTCCAGGACTTCTGTCTCCCCTATGTAGTAGAATCCCACTCTTCCTGGCCCCTGCTTCAGCACAGTCTGTGAGAAGTGGGGAAGGGGGTGCTTCTGGTGTGTGCTGGGACAAGCTTTCCACCTAAAACCAGGAAGATGGTGCCCTGAAGTGGCTCCCCCAAACCAGGGAACAGGACAGAAGTGGTTATCACTTCTTAGGTTCTGGTGGGCAGTTGCATTCTGCCAATGTCCACTCTTCAAGGGGACACTGCTCAATGGAAAGAAGGACAAGGGAAGGAGCGGAGACATTTGGCTCCATGTAGATCTCACATAGTGTCCCCACATGATAAATGTGATCAGAGGGATGAGAGGGAGACCTGTGTAGACTGGACATCAGCCCGAAGCCTCTCTTTCTTTGTTAGCCTCCTCACCACCAGTTCCTTCTCCTCCTGAGGCTCCCTCCCCTTACCCTAGGCTCACCAATCGGTTCTGGGCAGCACTCAGGTCCTCTACTACCTGGGCAATGATTCGCTCTGCAGCAGCTGCTGTGATAGACAGTCGGATCTCACTGGCAAAAGTGAGAAAGAGACTTGAAGAGCAGGGTCAAGGACATGGACTAGACCTCCGCCGGTACATTGCTCCCTCCTCCCGCTCCCTTCCTTTGTCTTCCCTCCCCAGAATCCCGGGGGCAGAAGGCTACTTGAGTTTGCTGAAGGCATCATTGAGAAGCTGCTCCAAGAGTAGGCTGAGGCCCAGGTGGTCCTGCCGGCTGACCTGGCCCGAGATAGCACTACTCAGCTGCTCCCGTCGGCCAGCCTTCTGCATCACCCTCGGGCACAGGTTCTGAACTGTGTCCAGCGTGGCTTGCACAAAAGACTGAGGCACAGGCAGAAAGGTAGAAGGCATGGAGGTGAGAGGCGCGTGAATCAACAGGGAATTAGGGTCAGAGGATATGAAAAGTGGGGAAACCAGTTGGTTTTGAAGGCATGGGCATTTTTAGAGCACATAGGGAAGCTTTAAACATTCAACTTCACAGTGGGAGCGATAAGGTACACTCTATCGACTCAACTCTTGCCTTAAATTAGGGACATCCCTCATTTCTCACTTCATTCTCTCAGGACTCGGCAGCCTGTGGTGAAAGCCACTGACTTGAGAAAGGTACTAAGCCATCTCTTCACCATTACTATCTTTCCACAAATATGATGGAGATGAGACTAGGCCTTAAGCAGCAGTCTGGGAAGACCTGTGCTCAGGTGGATAAGTAGGCTCATTATTTTGCTCTGGGGGTAGGGGAAGCCCTTATGTGAATGGGTGGAAGGTCAGGGCCTGGGCCGGCAGAGGGGAAAGGGGAGGTCACCTGGATCTCCTGGTGACAGGCCTGGCCCACCTCCTCCAGGAGGACCTCTAGTTTCTGCTGCAGCTGGCTGTTGTGATATGGGGAGTTTCCAGCCTCATATAGCACAGGCAGGATCTAGAGTGAAGGTGACAAGGAGGAACCAGGGTCTGTGGAGGAAGGCTGGCTCCAGCCCACCACCCCAGCCTAGACTCTGATACTCTGGATTAGGTATGAAGTGGCCTCAGTCAATACCTTTAGTGATGCGGTTGGAATAGGATCAGGGGAACTGTCAGGCAGACACATAGACAGACAGGTAGATGGCACAGTGGTTAGGGCATTGTACTTAAGGTCAAGAAGACATGAATTCAAATCCTACACCAGACTCTTACTAGCTCTTTGTCTCTGGCTAAGTCACTTAAAGCTCTCTTGGTCTCAGTTTCTTCATGTGTAAATAACAGCCCCTACCTCATGGTATTGTTTTGAGGGTCAAACAAGTTAACATGTGAAGTGCTCTGCAAATCTTCAATTGATGTATCAATACTAATACTACCACTACTAACAACAACAATTATTATTATTATTATTAGATAAGAGAGGGGTTGCTGCTAGGCTGTCATCAAATGGACCCACAGTAGCTTGAAGCATGCATTGGATACCAGAGGGGTTGGCGTGGGTGAACTCACACTGATGGAAAAATTAGCATCACGGATAGCTTCCTCAGCCTGGCGCAGGGCAGCCTCACCCCGAGGGCTGGGCCAGCAGCCCAGCAGCTCCATGTGCTCCTGCACTGTCAGGCACATTTCATTCACCATCTGGGAGTGGGGGAAGACACGTCTCTGACACCTGCTCCCTGAGCCCCCCAAATCTTCACTTACCCCCAAGGACCTGGGCAGCCTGACCCTGGGTGACCCTTTTGTTTCTGAGAGTCACGAGAAGGGTTGGAGGCAATAGGGTAGGAGTGGCAGGGGCCTTTCTGTTCTCTCTGCCCCAGGACACCAAGGTCCAGACTGACCCATCCATTCTGAGCCCAGCCTAGCTCAGCCTAGCCCCTTTCCATGGCACAGGAGAGACCCCAGGGAAGGGAACACAGGGCCAGGCCTGACCTGTTCAGAAGATCGGGTGACAATTCCCTGCTGCAGGCGGAAGGCGTGGTCAGGGAGGGTTCTGTGTGTGTGATTATTCCTCAAGAGATAGGCCTGGATCTGGGGGAAGGAGGTAGGGGTGTCCCAGAGGGCCTGAGGCCCCTGCTTCTCCTATGCCACCTTCCAGTCTGTGCCCCCTCACACAGCCCCACCCTTTCTCTTCTCCTCCCCCATCCCCAGTCCAGACCTGGTGTATCGCAGCAGAGGTTCGCTCTGGGTTGCTTCGGTAGGCCTGGGTCAGGTCACTCAGAGGCAGGGGCATGTTTTTCAGGGTGTGGTTCCCCTCGAGGGCATGAGCCACATCCAGGAACCCTTGAGCTGTGGTGTTGTTTCGGTCCCAGATCACAGTCCTAGGGGACCAGAGTTGGAGGTAGCAATGGGCCACATAGAGACATCTCCATTGGCCTCGGCCTGACTCCCTCCTGTCCCCTCTGCTCTATCTTCTCCTCTTGCTGCCCTGCCTCTGCCCCTCCCATCCCTGTCCTTTGCTTTTTCTGTCTCTCTTTCTTCTAGTCTTTTTTTTTTTTGTGGCAGTAGGGGTTAAGTGACCTTCCCAGGATCACACAGCAAGTAAGTGTCAAGTGTTTGGTCTGAGTCTGAATTTGAACTCAGGTCCAGTACTCTATCCTCTGCGCCACCTAGCTGCCCCTTCTTCTAGTGTTAAGTGACTCTTGTCTTCCTTTCCGTATCTGTGTTTGTGACCCTACTCTGACCCTTGCCCCTCTTGAGCCCACCCCCCCCACCCCTCTCACCTGAGCTGGGTGTTGATCTGCAGGGCCTTAGCCAACATCTTGGCACCTGTGTCCCCCATGGCATTGCCACTGATGTCCAATGACGTCAGGCTAGGGTTGCTGCCCAGGGCATTCAGCAGAACACTGGTGCCCAGTTTCAGCCTTGACTCGGCCACAGAGAGAGACTGTAGGGGCTGGGTTTGTGGGAATGGGTGGGGGTCATTGACAGAGGTGGGTGAGGTCACCAGAAGATACCAGTAGCAGGGGCCTCACAGTACTCTTAGGACACTGACTTTAAACCTCTTACAATGCACCCCTTAATTACTTCTGCCCCTTCCCTTCATACTCACACAGTCATCGTCCTGGGTGAGCTGGACAATTCGGTGTAGCACATCTCCAAGGGACTCCCTGTGAAGGGAAAATAGGGTGGGTGGAAGTCCCTAAGCTTATCAGAGCAAATACTGGGAAGATGATGGAGGACATATGCTGCAGGTGTGGGCTTCATGTGTGTTTGTGGGTAGGTTGTGGCTCCTTAAACTGAATCAGAGGTCACTGGCTACTTAATTGGGCCCCATCCCGTGAGGAAGGAACAGAAGTAAATGACAGTGCTATGGTGTCAGGCTGTGGAAGTATAACATTTGTGAACTGTCAGATGGGATTCTTCTTCTTTTTAAACAGGTGATATGAACCCAATCTTTGTTACTGCCTTCTTTGTTCTTGAGTGGGGAGGGAAGTGATTTTGTTCACTTAGTCTACATGGGCATATTGGCAGAGCACCTGAAAGCCTACCGTGCTATTAAGAAAGAAAATTTCCTGACTGGCTGAAGGAGGACCGACAGAGTCCTTTGGGCTCAAGACTGTTGTGTGGATCTCTATTATGGATGGAGGAAGGCTCCAGAGGCCACATCATGGGTCATGCTAGGCCTGGAGAACTGTGGTTACATCTTAGATTAGAAAGCTTAAGTCCTGTTAAATCTGGGAGTAGGTAGATTTCTTATCAACATGTTGAAAAATCTAGGCTTTTTGCATTTTTTCTGATTTTATAATCTTTTTTCCCTTAAAAATAAACCCTACTACTTCTTTTTTTTTTTTTTAAGACAATTGGGGTTAAGTGACTTGCCCAGGGTCACACAGCTAGGAAGTGTCAAGTGTTTGGTCTGAGTCCGCATTTGAACTCAGGCCCTCCTGACTTCAGGGCCGGTGCTCTGTCCATTGCACCACCTGGTTACCCCCCCCCCACTACCTTTTTTATCTTCTGGATCTGCGACCTCTAAACTACAAGAGACACAGTAGGTAGGACAGAGAACTGGGAAAGACATCCAGTCACATGATAGTGGTAGAGGAAAGGAGTCAGAGAGTCTAGATCTCTAAACCAGGGAGTTAAGTAGTCTAGGTCACTAGGAAGGTCCAGGCTTCTAGTGGGGGACACATTTTTTAAAACAGTGAAAGCTCTGAATATTGGCTTGAAATGACAGAACTGGTCAGTTGTGACTCTAAGTCAGTGAGGTTTAAGGGTCAAGACTGAATCCTGTATGAGGGTGTGGGATTGGGGGAGTGCACCTCACTTTGATTTGATGTTGAAGTTCTTCCCCAGAGCCACATGTCGGATGGACTTGCTCCTCCCAATGGCCAACACCAAGGTTACCATGTCTGTGTCAAAACCTAGGGAACAGGAAATCACAGCTCAGCTGAGGGGGGCTGGGGAGAGACAAGGAGGGGGGGCCACGTGCCATCCTTTCCTCCCATGCTAATGTAATTCTGAGTTCCCGAGCTGGGAAGGCTCTTTCCCTGGGGCAGTCAGAGAGGCAGCTGTTTCAACATTTCCCTCTCATCCCAGACAAAGATCAATCTCTCTGCCAGTGGACTGGGTGTAGGGGGTAGGGGGATGGGTTTAGGACGCTCCGGGCTCAAAGCCTGCAGGGTAGTTGTGGGGCAGGGCGTGCCCCTCCCCCAAAGGCCCTAGGCCCTGCGGTAAATAAAGGGTCACTTCCCCACCTCAACAATCCTTACCATTGTCAGACAAATCCAGGGCCCTCACTGAATTGATGTCAAAGATGAGGTCTTGAATCACTTGAGCACCAGCTGAACGAAGCTGTGTTTTTTTTTTTTTTTGCGGGAGGAGAGGGGGCATACAGAGCACTGTCAGGGTCTCTTTTCCATTCCTCAGACTTGCCCAAGCCTGAAGACGCTGAGGATTTTCCATACCCTTACCTCACTTCCCCAGTCACCCAGCAAGCAAAGCTGTAACTAGCATGAGATGAACGGGGCTTTGCCCCAGTGTCTTAACATGGTGTTCGTGGGGGGGAGGGGGTATTCTTCCCTGAATTGACAACTACTCCTGTGCCCCACCTAGATACTCTTTGGAGGTGCCATCTTCAGGGTCCTGTTGCCTTGAAACCTCTCTCCTGGGGCCTGTCGTTTCCCCTAACCCCCTTGGGCATGGGAGCTGGTATTCTGGGGTATAGCTTGTCTCCTCCAGATAAACTGGACCCCAAAAGTGAGAACGTTCTCTCTGCCAAATGCATCGCTACGTCCAGCTTACCTGAATTTCCCACAGGAAGTTTTAGCTAGATATGGCCTCACCAGCAGTTCAAAGGCAGGAATAGCCCATATGCAGGAGACAACCATAGCATCCTGGCCTCCCAGCTTAATGATCTCTGGGTTAGGGGGACAGGGACACTGAGTAGGGCTTAGGGCCAGGGGCCTCACCTCACACGTGTTGAGGTCCAAGTAGATGTCGCTGAGTTGAGTATTGAGAGCCAGGCCTTGAAGAAGACTCCTATGGAAACAGGGGAGTAGTCCTGAGCATAGCACGAGGATTATCATCCCCATTTTACAGATGGGAAAACTGAGGCTCAAGGAAGGGGAGTGACTTGCTTAGTATGTGTTACAGCCAGGTTTGATCCCAGGTTGGCTGACCTTAAGTCTACTCTTTTGCTATATGCCAAGAAGTAGTGTGCTGCAGTGGAAAGAGAGCCCAGGGTTTGGAGTCAGAGGACCTGAGTTCAAATCTGTCTTTGTTACTTACTACCTCTGTGCCCTTGGGCAAAATCACTTCCCCTACCTAGGCTTCAGTGAGGGGGTGGGATCAGATGACCTCTCAGGTCCCTTCCAACTCGAAATCCATGATGCTAGGATCCTTTTGGCCTTAGCTGCACCCCACCAGGAGCCACCAAACATGTCCATCCCTCATGTCCAGAATAGGCTGAGCCCTGTCTTGGAGGGCTGGACCTCTGCCCTCTGCCTCAGGACTGAGAGGTAAAGGGAACAGTGTTCTTTACTCACCTGAGAGCCTCTGAAGGCAACTTGGTCCCTGCCAAAGCCACATGGTGAAGTGACCTCGCCTGGCTGAAGAATGACTGCAGCGAGGAGGGCACTGCCCGGCTCCTTCTGGGGGAGGAGTGGAAAGAAGGGAGGGAGGTGGGGATCTAGGACAGGTCTACTCTCCTGCCTAACTTGCCCACTCTGTGGCCCTTCCCATAAGCTGTGGATAGTAACTAGTCCTACCCTGTTTCTTGACTGACTCAGGGACAGCCCCAGTCAGCCCTCCCTCCCAGTCTGGTCTGCTAGGAGAGCTGAACTAAGCTGAGATGTCAGATAGCCCCCTCCTTCCTCCACAATACATCCCCAAATTAAGATGGGCCCTGCCATTCCTGGGGCTCTACAGGGGAGCCTAGGTGGGAGGGCTCCTCTTACGTGTGGGAGAAGATGTTGTTGGAAGCGTTGAGATGAACAAGGTTGGCACAGCAACCTCGAGACAGCGCCCGGAACAGCTGGGAGGGGAAAGAAGAATGCCAGGTGGTCAAAGAACAACAGAGGCCACTACTTGCAGACCCCCTGCAATGGCAGGATCCGAATCCAGCTTCCTCAGCCCCTCTGTGTCCAGCACTATCTACCTCTGAGGGGCTGCTGTTCAGAGCTCCCTTCATGATGTCCAGTTCCACCTCCCCACCCCTCACCCTCCAGGGTTCTTCCAGCAGTATCTACTGGGTTTTTTTTTGGTTAGGCAATTGGGGTTAAGTGACTTGCCCAGGGCCACACAGCTAGTGTCAAGTGTCTGAGGCCAGATTCGAACTCAGGTCCTCCTGACTCCAAGGCTGGAGCTCTATCCCTTCCAGCAGTATCTAAAGGCATACTTCTCCAGCCTGCTCTCCCTCCCCAACACAGTGAGTGACCCAGGGCCCTTTCCTTACAATGTCCAGGGCACTGTCAGTCCCGGAGAGGTTTAGGTGGGTCACAGCATTGGGATGACTCAGGAAACTGTAGAGACCCTGGGAGGACACAATTCTTCAGTGGGGACCCCCCAGATCTTCTTTCTGATCCCCCTCCCCACAATGGCTTTGATAGACCGGTCCAGTAGAAAAGACCATGAAGAAACCTTAACTCTAGCCCTAGTCCTGCCTTTGGGTGGTCACTTTCCTTCTTCAGGACTCAGTTTCTTCATTTGTAGAAATGGGGGAATGTGAATGGCTCCTCCAAGTTTCCTTAAGTTCTAAACATTCTATAAAATTTAAGACCTAGGCTGTGACCCCCCTGCCCATGTTTCCATGAGATCAGGGCTTGGGGTGCAGAATTTTAAGCTTAGCAGGTAGGATTACTCACCCCTTCATCCTCTGTTATCCCCAGAGCCCCAGGATTCCCAGAGAGGTCCAAGTGGGTTAGGGAGGAAGCAAAGACAGAGTTGGTGAGTAGGGCCTGGCCCAGGGTACTCATCCCTGGAAGAGGAGACAAGAGGAAAAGGGGTGGGGGTGAGGGGAGGTCAGGAGGTGGGATTCATCTCCATCCCCACTGCCCTACCCCCTCTGGCCCAGGAGGGGCTCTCTCCCCTCATGTGCTCCCCCGCCCCCCTCAGTGCAGGCCACACCCCCACCTCTGGCTGTCAGCCCTGTCCGGGAAAGGTTGAGTCTTGTCAGAGCTCGAGGACGCTTTTCCAAGTGGCGGCTGAGCGCTGTCACTCCTGGGAATTGGAGGGAGAGAGGGAAGACTGTGGATCCTTTGAGGGGGACTGGAGGGGAGAGGGATGAATGTCTATTTAAACACCCACCCAGAGCTGTACTGGTATCTTTGATCTGCCAGTGCCCCGGGCAGGAGAGGCCAGGCTGCTGGGGGCACATCATTCAGCTTAGGGATGCCCCTATCCTCTCCCAGGGCTGGACTGCGAGCTCCCTAGGGGACAGGGACTGCTCTCACATTACCTAAACTCTGTGTCTCCCCCACTGTGTAGTATGGTGGGTCAGTAGTCAGTAAACAAGCATTTATTAAATGCTTACAATGTGCCAGGCATTGTGCTAAGCACTGGGGATACAAGAAAGGCAAAAACGAGGTGCCTGCCTTCCAAAAGCTTACACTCTGAAGAGAGAGATAACATGCAAATGAACAAGTTATATCCAGAAACCTGGGAAAGGCATCTTGGAGGGAAAACACTAGCAGGGGTGAGGTGGGGGTGGGGTCACAGGGCCCTCTATCCAGCACAGCTGTCCAAGGCATGTTGGTTGAATGTGTTGGAGGCCCATAAGAGGCAGAGAGGTGGTACCTTCCCCATTTACCTCCTAAGACCCTGGGTCCCCCAACGAGGCGAGTCGGAGCCAGGAGAGGGCATGGATGGTAAGGGTCAAAGGAGGGTATGGGGAAGAGGGGAGGAACCGGGACTGGTTTTTGGGGAACTGGGAAGCGAGGCCAATGGCAAGGACCACTAGAGGGTGGATATGAGGTCGGGGTGAAGACAGGCGCTGGAGAGGGGTCTTAGAAGGGGGGGGCCGGGCTGGTACCTCGGTCCTCCAACGGGTTCCCTGCCAGGCTGAGCGCACTGAGGGCCGAACGGGGATGCTCCGCCAGGGACTGAGCCAAGCGCTGCGCAAAGTCCCTGGGAGGGCGAGACGGGGGTGCTGGGACTCCCAGTCTTGCCCAGCTTGGGTCCCAGTCCTCACTGCTCGCCCCGTTGCCCCCTCCTTCCCTCTCCCCAGCTTCCCCACCTTCTCACCCCTTCAGACCGCAGTTGTCCAGAACCAGCTCTTCCAGCCGGGACGACTTGCTCAGCATGTAGAGGATCTGCTCAGACACCTCCAGGCTCTGGGGAGGGGGAGAGCGGAGGAAGCCGTAGCGGGGGGGGGGGGGAGGAGAAGAGAAGGGGGAAAGGCGTCATGTTCAGAGACCCTTCTAATAGTCCCGACATCGTGCCATCAATCACTTTATGTAAACCCCCTCCCCCCCATTTCCACTGCACTTAGGACAGTGCCTAGCACACAGTATGAGCTTAATAAATGATTTATTCCTCTCCTCGTTCTGTTCCCCTCCTTCCACTCCCGCTCCCTCCTCACCAGCTTGAGGTCAGAGCAGGAGAGGCGGCTGAACCAGAGGTTGTAGGACAAGGCAGCTACACTTATGGCCACATCCCTGGGGAGGGGGGTGGGGGGAAGTCCAGTCAGTGCTGAGCTCTGAGACGAGACAAAACCTTAACTCCCCCACCCCTGCAGTCACAGGAGAGGCAGAGGAAAGTTCAGCTGTCCTAGCTCGTCCCACCTGGCTTTCACAACTACCACCTTACCTACCCTTGGGGAAGCAGGCCCAAAGATGGGAGGGTTGTAGGAAAAGCAATGGATTTGGAGCCATGCCATTTCCCTCCCAGCTCATTTTACAGATGAGGAAACTGAGGCAAACTGGGTTAAGTGACTTGCCCAGGTTCACACAGTTAGTAAGTGTCTAAGGCAGGATTTGAACTCAGGAACAGCAGTCTTCATGATTCCAGGCCCCACTCCCACCCTCCTCCCCTATCCACTACAATCACCGAGCTTGCCCTTGGAGCCAAAAGATCTGCATTCAAATCTCAGCCCTGCTACTTACAACCTGTATAACCTCGGGCAAAGTCATTTTCCTGCTCTAGGTCTCAGTTTCCTCATCTGTAGAAGGAGGACTGGACAGTCGTTAAGGTCCCTTCTGAATCTAAATCTCATAATAGTAAGAAGGCAAGTGGAGCTCAGTTCCTCTTCTACTTTTGACTTCTCCTCAGCTTCCTCCCTTTTAAGCGTGTGGCCCGCTCACCGGCTGTGCAGATGACTGAAATCTCTTAGGCTGAAGTTCCGACAGTCTTGGCTGTGGTAGATATTGTCCACATCCTGGGCTCAGTAAGTACACAGGGTCACCTCCAGGGTATGGCTAGTGCCTCCTGGGGTAGGGGGTGGGAGGATCCATTCCCCTTTCCCCCCTCCCCTCCTCCCAACTCTCACTGACTCCTGGAGGATTGAACTTCATCCTTGCCCCCCACGATACCAAACTTCCCACAAATCATCACACCCCCTCCCCCACGGCCCATGTGGAAATTATTAGACTCTAAACACCGTAAAGACAGGGGCAGTGTCTTAGCTACACTTTGTGCCTTGCCTAGGCATCTGTACACAGTAGGTACCCAATAAACATTTTTTGGGCCGCTGTCTCACCCATTGGATCTCCTCCCGGAATGGGAACCCATTATAGTCACACAGAGCTGCATAGGTCTCAGAGAATCCTCCTAGAGTCAGACAGGGATAATGACCATGTTGGGGGTATGGAGGGATACAGGAGACAAGTACCAGAGAGAGACAGGGAAGGAGGGACAGAGGCTCAGCACAGGACAGTGGTCAAGGCTGGGCAAAAGTCTCTGTGTTCTATGTCCACATGACACTCTACTTCCACCTCTCATCTAACACACTTAGTCAGTTTAATAAATTTAAGAATTTATTAAGATCCTAATATGTTGAAAACCTTGTCTTTGTTGTCAGGAATGTAAAAAAAAAATAAGATAAAAAGGCCAAAGTTTTTGACTTCATGTAGTTGACAATCTAATAGATTAAAAGGTACTTTATAAATATTTGTTGAAGGCTCAGGTTTGGAGAGATCTGATTCCCTTTTTTCCCTAAGGCAGAAAGGGAGGGAAGGGAAGGGAAGAAAGGAGCAGGGAGAAGAGGGGTCCTAAGATCTGAATTTATATTCCAACTCACCACTTGATAGCTGAATAACTCTGGGCAAATCACTTCCCTGGGCAAATCTGGCTCTTAATTTCCCTGTTTTAAAATGGTGGTAACATTCGTTCTACCTAACCTCAGACAGCTGGCAGGAATTTTGTTGTTCAGTAGTTTCCGACTCTCCGTGACCCCATTTGGGATTTTCTTAGCAAAGATTCTGCAGTGATTTGCCATTTCCTTCAACAGCCCATTTTACAGATGAGGAAACTGAGGCAAAAAGGTGCAGTAACTTGCTCAGGGTCACACAGCTGATAAGTGTTAGAGGCCAGATTTGAACTCAGGAAGATGAATCTTCCTGCTTCCAAGCCTGGGGCTCTCTATCCATTGCACCACATAGCTGCCTTTGCAGTGAGGAAAGCGCTTTATAAACCTGGAAGCATTGAAGAACTGAGCACTAATATTGGGACTTGTAAAAGTCAGCCCAGAGTCCTTGCTCCTCCCCAACCTCCTTACCACAGGGACCAAGGCTGCCTAGTGTCACCTCCTCCAGGGAGCTACTTCGTTTCTCCAGTCGGGCCAGCAGGGCTGAGGGAGACTTCCGGAACAGCTTCCTGAGGGGTGGGAGAGGGAAGCAAGAAACAGACCACTACCCCTACATTGGAGAGAGAAGCCCCTGCCTGGAGGGTTTTCTCTACCTAGTGTGGGTCCCCAGCTCCAGCAGGGTGGGGGTGGAGATAAGGGGAAAGGAGAGGGGAAATCCCTCCAGCCCTGCTCCCAGAAGGGCCTCACCTGGGTGAAGTCTCCGGGAAGACTTTCCGGATGGACATAGCCATGTGTAAGGCCAACTGCTCCAGGGCCCCAAGAGCAGGAAGTTTCATCGTCAGCTTGGGCAGCAGTTCCAGCTCGATTATCACCTGATGGTCAGAAAAGCTGCTGCTCTCCCCCTCTGACAAATGGGTCAAAGGAAATGAACTGGCAGCTCACAAAGGAAGAAACCCAGGCTATCAATAGCTGGTTAAAAAAGTGCTCCAAATCTCCCTCAATGTTTAGAGAAAGACAAAAGAACTCTGAAATTCTACCTCAGCAATCAGATCGACAAAGCCGACCAAACTAGAAAACGACAATTTTTGGAGTAGCTGTTGGAAACCAGGCACGTTGATACACTCATTCAATCAGAGAATTGGTCCAGTCGCTTGGGAAAGTGAATTGCAACGATGCCCCAAAAGTCACTAAACTGTGCATATCCTTTGACCCAGCAATGCCACTGCTAGGCCTCTATGCCAATGAGGTCCAGGAAATAAGATAAAGGAACCATGTGTACAAAAATATTTACAGTAGCTCTTTTCATGGTGGCAATGGACTGGAAACTAATTGGGGCAGGGGGGTGTCCATCAGTTGTGGAATGGTTGAACAAATTACAGTATATGAATATAACAGGGTTATATTACTATGGGTAACCCGAGCTTCTCTGGGCAGGCCCAGTTCTAACATGGAGATACCCTGGAGGGGCCTTTTGAGTGTGCCTAGTTTGCCCAACATGGAACCCACTGCATCCCCTACCACTTGGGTGAAGGTAGCCTCCTGTGATTGGCTATCTCCATCTTTAAAACAGGAGAGGTTATGCCAATCACTGTGCTGCTTTTTTCTGCCATGCTTTACTGTTTTTTTTTTCCAGAATAAAAACTCTGCTAACTGAACCAGTAAGAGGGAAACAATCTAGAGGCCCCTCAAGGGCAGCTCCACGATAGATCTGGACAAGTCCAGAGAAGCCCGGGTTACGCATAGTAAGAAATGATGAAAAGGATGTGTTCAGAAATAGAAAGTGATGCAGAGGACCAGGAGAACAATTTCTACATCAACTACGGTATAAAGAGAAACACTCTTAAAAGACTTAGGAACCACAATCAGTGCAATAACCCAGAAGGATTTCAGACGACCATGATGAAGCATGCTACTCACCTCCAGACAGAATAGGGATGGAATCAGGGTGCAGAATGGGACTTAGAATTTTGGTCTGGGACAGTGTGGGGATTGGTTTTGCTTGACTATATATATTTGCTACAAAGGTTTTCTCTTTTTTTTTTGTAGGAGGGGAAAGGGAGAAAATGTTTTGTTAATTGGAAAAAATAAATTTAAAAGCTGGCTGGGAAGAGGGCTGGAAGAGAATTGTCTCCCAAGTTGGCAGCAGCCTAGCCAGGGCATCATGGTTGGGGTGTCCTGGAGGCAGACCCTCACCTGGGGGGGGATCTCCTGAAGAACCATCTCCTTCACTTCCAGGTAACTGAATGTGCAGTCCACCTATGGGGAGGCGGGGGGATACCGGCTTAGCTCAGCTCGAACCCCTTGTCCTCCCAGGGGTTTCCTGCCCAGGCTGAGCACACTGATGGTCTAACGGAGATGCTCCACCAGGGAGGAACTGAGTCAACAAGCCCACTGCCTCCTAGGATACAACATAAATGCCTTAGGCTAGTCATCCTCACGGCCATCCCCAAGCTCAGAGCTCAGGGCTCAGGCTAGCCAGCCCCTGCACACAGAGCAGAGCAGCCGCAGGAATGAATCACTCATCTTAGTGATACACAAAGTGGGGACTTAGCCTTTGTTCAGTGAACACTTGTTTCTGGAAATCCCCTGTTAACTTTGCCTGTCCCAGAGCCTGCGGGACGGAAACCTAGAGTTTGGGAAAGCCTCGAGTTTGGAGGTTGGGGCTGGTGAAGATTTGGTGGGGGAACTCACCCGAAGCGGGAGGGAGGTGTGAAGTAAGTAGGCTCTCCAGGGTAGCAGTGCCTGAGGGCAGTGAGGCAGAAAAAAAAAAAGGGACAAAATCCATCTGTAGCCACCTGGAGGTGTAGGCCTCATGGCCAGAGCACCCCAGGCTCCAAGATCAGTCCCCAGTCAATGCTTCCTCATCCATCCACCTTCCCCTCACTTGGCTCAATCCAAGTGTACCCCCTTCTCCCCACTTCTCCCCTCCCTGCATAGCCACCCCCACCCAAACCTTTTCCACAAGCCCTACCAGCACCCGCTCTCTCTCTTCATGTCCTTCTCTCTCATACATCTGGATAATCAGCAGCAGTTTGACTTCCTTTGGCCACAGAAACCTGGTGATCTCATCTGTGGGACCAGCCTTAGATGTCTGGTCTCCTCTTGGCCTCCCACTGAGGTCACTACAGGCCACCCTAGCCCAGGCCTCCAGGGGTCACCGCAGTCTAGGCTCCGCCCAACCGGGGGCAGGGGTTGCAGGGAGGGGAAGAGTACCAGGGCTCCCCGATTCTGGGGTCTCTGAGGGGTGGAGGCTGAGCTCGAGGATCCTTTGGATTGGGGGAGGAGAGAATTCAGGGTGCCTTGAGCCTTGTCATGAGAGGGGGTGCAGGGGAAGACCTGTCACATGGTCCTCACCCTGATCTCGGAGGCCATCCTGCTAGGACTCCAGCCTGTGGGGAAAAGGGAGAACTCACCCTGCAGCTCATAGGAGATGCCCTCAGGGGGCTGGGCCATTTGTAGGGGATGAGCTTGGGACCCTGCACAGCCAGGACTGGTGCCAGCTAGCAACGGAGCGAGTGAGCAGCAGCACAGGAAGCCCTTGTCTTCCCCTGACCCCTCACCACCTGTTCCTCCTTCCGCAGAAGGTGAGAGCTGCTTCCTGCTCTCCACCCTCAGCGGTGACAGCCCCATGCGACTCTAGGCTCCCCGGGGTTCCCAGTCAGCCCTCCCCTGCCACAACTGTTGTAGAGGAAAAAAACAAAAGCTAGCGTCAAAAAGGCCTGGTTCAAATCCTCACTGTGCTAATGATTAATTACGTAACTGTTCTGGGACTTAATTTCCTTATCTGTAAAATGAGTGGGTTGGACTAGATCAAGAGTTCTTAACTTAGGGCTTGTGAACTTGTTTTACTATCTATTTTGACAATTGTGTTATTTTAATATAACATATTGAATATTATATTGATATGTAATATACACAATAATATATTTCAATGTTTTATTCTACTCATTTAAAAACATTATTCTGAGAAGAGATTCATCAGCTTCACCAGACTTCCAGAGGGGTCCATCATACCCCAAAAGGTTAAGGACCCCTGGATTCGGTGACCAATAGATTCTTTCCAGCTCCCAATTTGGGACAGGGAAGAGCCCATGTGGCTATGGCCCAGTGTGACCTGACCGCTGGAGTCAGAACCTGTGGGGACTCCCAGAACAGAGATAGTTGTCCAGGTTAGGATCATCTCTCTATCAGTCAGGAGGCTGCATGATTCTCTTCTCCTGAACAGCCAGAAGGAATAGAGGTGCTCCTAAAACGGGAGCCCGGTCCTTCCTCAACATCCCTTTGGCTCCCCAGAGCTGTAGTTTTCATTGAGAACACCAGAGGGTGCTGTCCACCCGTTGATCAACCTCTAAAGAACCTCCTTGGGTCGATGCATCCTTCTCTCCTCCTCCAGATGAGGGAAGGCAGAGTGTGCGTGTAGATTGGTTGGGGCCTGAGGGAAAGGGGAGGGTCTAAACTGGGCTGGGAATACCGAGTTTAGCCTTGGCCACACAGAGCAAGAGCAGCAACTCCTCCTTGCTGCCCTCGATGGGGTCTCCCTCTCCTTTAGTACTCTCACCTCTTCATTTGTAAGCTGAGGGCAGGGACTGGATCATTTTTCATCTTTGGGTATCTCACCTTCACTTCCTCCACTCCAACCCTAACTGCCACCCCAGTTCAGGACAATATCTCATCTCCCCATGGCTATCATAACACCCTGATTTGTCTTCCTGTTGCCAGTCTTTCCTTTCTCCGGTCTGTCCGTCACACAGTTGCTTCAGGAAGTTTCCTAGTGGCTCCCTAGTGCCTACCAAATAAATAGAAGCTCATGATCCTGGCATTCAAGGCTCTCCGTCATCTGGCTCCATTTTACCTTTCCAACCTTTTCTTACGATACTCCTTTTCCAGTAGTTTACCTTTTTCATTTCAGCTCACTAATTCTCAGTGGAATTATTGAGATAGCTTCCGGCTCCTCTTCCTGCATCGTCTCTTCCAGATTCAGTTTATTCTTTATGCAGTTGCCAAAAATAATTTTCCTAGGGTGCAGATCTGCCCATGTCAATGCCCTTGCTCTAAACTTCAGAACTACCTATTGCCTTTAGGATGAAATACAAGCTCCTTAGCCTGGAATGTAAGTTCCTCTGTGATTGGTTTCTAATCAACTCTGTTCCCCACTCCTACCATTTCCCTACTATCTCCCCCCCCCAACTTTTCTGGCTTCATTTTATACATCTTAAGCTCCTTGAAGGACTATTTAATTTTTGTATCTTCAGTGCCTTGGGGGAGGAAAGGGAATAAGCATTTATAGAGCACCTACTATGCACCAGGCACTGTGCTAAGTGCTTTTGACAAACATTATCTCATTTAATCCTCACAATAACCTGGCAAGGCAGATGCTATTACTATCTCCACTTAGGAAACTTGAGGCAGAAAGAGGTTAAGTGACTTGCCCAGGGTCACACAACTAGTAAGTGTCTAGGGTTGGACTTGAAATCAGGTCTTCCTGACTCAGGTTGTCCAACTCCCTATGCACTGCGCCTCACATACATTAAACACTTAAGATAATGATTATTTCCATTCTTATACTCTCCTTGACTTACTTTCTCATGCCTCTATGGTGTGCATACAGGTCTGTCCCTCATACTTGAAAAATAATTCATCTTTGCCTCCTCAAATCCTTCTCTACTCAGCTGAAGTACTAGCACCTACCTCCATGAAACATTCCCCAATCCCCAGTATTCTTGTCCCTCAAATTTTCCTGCAGCACCTACAGGTCTGTAGTCTCTCCTTGACCCCTGTTAGAGTCAGCCTTGAGTCTGCATACCTACTATATATTCCACCACCTCCCTTTTCCATAGCCCTAAAGAGATTGCTGTATATTGTAGTGGAGAGCGATCGACTTGGAATCAGAAAGACTTAGGGTTGAATCCCACCTTTGACTCTAGTTGTTGGAAACTGGGCAAGTCCGTTTGCCAATTTCGGCCCAATAATGAGGATTACTTAGGATGAGCTCTGACCTTGAACAGAAGAAACTTTTCCTTGTGTATCAGTTGAATGCTGGATTACATTACACAGCTTTCATTGTTCTCATTGGTTGTGTTTTTAATTCTATGGCTTAAAAAAAGTCATTACCGCAAAGAAACAAGTGGAAGTCATAGCTTTTAAAGAGCACACTTCAATGGCTGCTAGAGACATTGCAATGTCTATTGGTGTGACAAAGTCAAGAGGTTTTTTTTTCTATTGAAATTATGAAATTTTATTACCAAAATTGACTCAACTTGATTGATCTAAGAAGATTTTCACATAAGTAGATTTACAAAAGGCTGTTAAGTCTCTGACCTAGCCACAGGTATGTAGCAGGGACCAATGGGGGCCTCGTTTGACATTTTCATTAAGTAGCTGGAACAAAGTCTAGTGCTTTGTGGATCATTCAAGCCTACTGTGACTGGAGCGATTGTATCAAAATGCGAAAGAAAGTGTGGTCAAAGATGGAAAAAACAAACAAATCCAAAATGATGCCAAGTACTGACAAGCTATTGGCAGCTGGTGGGATTGTTACTGATTCCTCCACAGTGCAGTGCAGCTGAAGTTGATGGGAAAGTGAGAAGACCCGTTTTAAAAAACAACTGACTTAAGGAGGAAAAAAATACTTGTCATGGACTAGACAATACAAAGACTAGAGTATTGAAGATTGGAAAAAGGTCATTTTAAACTTTTTTTTCATTCAAGGCTATACCAAAATCACTGCCAGAATTAGTCCAGGGGTGCCCCTACAAATCAACAAGCATTAATTAAGTGCCTATTATTATGACAGGCACTGTGCTAAGCACTAGGGATATAAAGGCAAAAACAGTACCTGCCCTCAAGGAGCTCACAATCTAATTGTGGGGAGACAACATGCAAAATGTACAAACAAGAGAGAAGTACAAATATATGTATATATAGTAAAAAAACCCTATATACATACATATGTACATATCCAGAAAACTGAATTGGATGTGAAGAGAGCTTTTGCAAAAATAATCACATTTGGCAAGTCCTAATGAGTGCATGTTGAGGGGATGTATGCAGAAGGTGGGAATTTTAGCTGAGCTTTAGAGAAACCAGGGAAGTAAGACTAAAACATCTACCCCCCCAAAATGTTTTTTTTAAACTTCTAATAAGCCTAGAGGTTTTATCTCCACTGAGGGAGTAATAAAACCTGATATATTGCTATACTGAGAAGCATAATTGTTCTGGAATTATAGAAATTCCCAAATGAAGAGGGAATACTGCTACATGGCATTGTACCATGCTACACATCATGAAATATTAAGAAAATTTCCCAAGACATGGAGCTAGACATGCTTCATTGGCTGGAGAACCCAATTGACTTAAGCCCCACTGAAAGCCTATGATCAAGGCTAGATTTGGGAAAAAATTAATAATAAGGACTGTTCAAAGGTACACAATGTCCAACGTGGCAAATGTGGTTTCCTTATGAAGGATCAAAGAATATGCATCAAAATCTCATGAAGTTAATGCCAAATAGTGTAAACCACGTGACTGGAGCAAAAGCACATACTGTATATTAAGTTCCTTTTTCAGATGTAAAATTTGTAAGGTTTATTATAGGTCACAAATTGAATCACTTTACTTTGTCCTAATTAATTCACACACCAGTATAGTACCTACTCCTCAGTGTTATGAGGCCTAAATGAGAGGATTCACGCATTTTGCAAAGTACTTTGCAGACTTTAAAGCAACACACACACACACACACACACACACACACACACACATTACTTCTCAGTTATGCTCTTTGGGGGCAGGGCTATCTTTTTCCATGAGCATTTCTGTCTTGTGAAGCTTAAATGTTTATAGGACTGAATTCCTGACAAACAACTGTATCACCTGTTTTTCTGCTCACCCATAGGTAGAATGGCTTCTTACCCTCTTCATCACTTGAAGCCCTTTCTTTCCTTCCTCCAATGCCCAATTCATATGCAATCTCTTCCAAATAATCAATCAATAAACATTTATTAAGCACCTACTAAGTGCCAGGCACAGTGCTAAGCACTGGGGATACAAAAAGAGACAAAAGAGAGTCCCTGCCCTCCAGGAGCTCACAATCTTATAGGGGAGACAATATGCAAACAAATATATACAAACAAGCTATATACAGGATAAATAGGAAATCATTAGCAAAGGGAAGGCACTAGAATTAAGAGGGTTGGGAAAGGCTTCCTATAAAAGATGGGGACTTTATAGTTGGGACTTAAAGGAAGCTAGAGAAGGCAGCAGGTGGGTTTAAGGAGGGAGAACATTCCAGGCTTGGGGAAGACCTAGAGAAAATACTCAGATGTGAGAGATGGAGTGTCTTGTTTGTGGAACTGCCAGGAGGATGTCCCTGGATCAGAGTACGTGACTGGTACTAAGGTGTCAACTGGCAAGGAAAGAGTGGGATAGATTATGAAGAGCTTTGAATACCAAACAGAACATTTTGAATTTGATCTTGGATGTGACAGGGAGCCAGTAGAGTTTGAGTGGGAGGAAGGGGTGGCGGTGACATGGTTGGACCTGCATTTTAGAAAAA